CGGCTCGGGGGCCGCGGGGCCGGCGCGTCCCGGCCCCTCCGCGCCTCGGCCCGGCGGGACACGAGTGGGCAGCGGCGCGGTGGAAGTGCCCTAAGGCACCGGCCGCGGGAGGGGCCGCGGCCCGGCGAGCGTCCGGCGGGTCTGTCTGCAGAGGGCGAGTTCTCCCTTGGCTTATCGGCGCAACGCCGGGCCGGGAACCCGCGGGTCTGTCATTCTTGAGAGAGATAATTTTCAATTTTCAAATACGAGAACTCCTGCTGCATCAGCCTGAACGTGATTATATAATGAGGGTAAAAAGTCGATAATAATGTTCTGGCTGCTTATATATTCCAGGTTTAGTTATGCAGGTATGGCCGTGCTTCTGTGCTTCCATGTAACACCTGCTAATCGTCAGCATTGATAAAGCAAATTTGTGGCAAAGGAGAAGTTGGCTTATGCGATTTTCAGTTTCCAGCGTGAGCTGCCATTAACACTGCCTGCATCAAAACATTGTACTCCATATCAGTCTAGGATAGCTTTTTTTTTCAAAGATCACATACAAAAGACATAGGAAGGAGACACTAATACAGAGAAGGACAGATTATATTCAATATGTTTTACTTGTGTCCAAAAGTATTTGTGAAAATTTAATTTTTTTAAAAATTCACTTTGCTTCTCTTGCCTAAAGGAAATGGCAGTTGGATCGTGTTTGGTTTACTGGTAGATAGCATTAAAATGTTTTTATAAATGTGCCTGTTTATTTCTCTTCCCTTTCCACAGTGTGAGTTGTCAGCTTTGATCACAGCTCTGTATTTATGCTTATAAAGATTTAAGGCTTATTTTGAAATGCATAGATATGAGTTCTTTCTCAAGTAAGGATTAGGAGAGGAAGTAGAGACAGCCAGTGAAAGAAGGGCATGATCAGGAGGAAAGCTCTCAGTATTATGAGTCAGCATTGCCTGAATTTTATCAAGTGGGCTGACAGCAGCTGTAGTGATTGCCACTGAGTGTCCATCCAGCCCCACAGTACTTTGAAGAGGAACAGATGTTTGGAGAAGAAAGCTTCAACAAAACAGCTCTACTTCCTTCCCATATCTCTTCCTACACTCCCACAGGTTGAGGCTTAAGCACTTCTTGAGCTACAGCTGGTGGCTTGGATATTTTGTTTTGGTAATGTTTGTTTGTTTGGTTGGGTTTTTTGAAATTGCTCTTCATATCCTTGTCTTCTGTGGACTTGTTTAATTGTTCTTGAACAAGGAAGCAGGAGGTGGTTGGAGTAGTTGAAAGGAAGAGGTAGGAGAAAAGCCCTTCCAGATTTATGGCAGAAGAAGGGATGGAGAAAGTGACATGCCTAACCAGTTACTTTCTCCATCCCTTCTAGGTAAGACTGATAGTATACAGAGAAGTTTTAAAAATGGGAAGACAAGTCCTTTGTCATGAAAAAACTTTGCTTACATGCTTACTTTGCTATTTAAGGTTCTAATATCACAATTTAGAAAGGAGAAAGCAGCTGAGCTGGGAGGATACATACTTAAGATTGTTTATACTTTCTTACTCTTAAGTTTCCTTAACTTGTAGAAAATAGAAATTCTAATGCTTAAGAAACAGACAAAATGTAACATTTTGCATATAATTTTAAGTGTCAAGCACGCAGTTTATAAGAAAAAATCTTTTCTGGTTGATCCAAGAAACAATAATAAAAAACTAACCTTGAGTTTATGAATGTTGCTTTCTAAACCATCCTATGCTTGCCTTGATTATAGATTCTTAATTAATTCTTTTTTGTAGACCCAATTAAAACAGTAACAGTTTTAGAAAAGACAGATAGTAAATATTATAGTAATATGTAGTTTTAATGTGTGAAATGCGTTCCCTGAAGTTCTTGAAGATGTCACTGAAGTTTGTAGGTAGCATGCTGAATTGAGCCTTGTACCTTCTGTGTTTGTAGCACTCAACATCATGTGTTGCCGTGTTTGGATTCCTTTAAGTTGGGAATACTGTCTTGCTTTCATTGTAGTGATCTCTGCTGGGTGTCTGTCCGTCGCCGTGCATCCTGTCCTTCTCCAGCCAGTGGTGGTTGCATGAAATGGGTGGCTGGTGATGGATAGAGCCTGGGCCCTGCTCTGCCCATTTTACACACGGCTGTGATGTGGTTTTGTCGTATATGTGTGTGCACAGAAACTGTCTGCTCAGAGCAGCAGAAGGGACTTAGTGAGTTGTCCCTTTTCCATAATTACTCTCAATGTCATCTAACTGCTGAGAGCTCTAGAAACTATTCAGTTTGGCCATCAAGTGGTGTTTTGGGGACAGCCTAGGAAGTGTTGAGCCTGCTCTTGGGTTCAGGCAATAGATCTCCTTTCAGTCACAATGACAGTGATGATGTTTGCAGCATGACTGTCAGCTTGGTTTGCTAATTGTCTGTAGGAGTGATCCTTCCCAGTGAGACAGTTGTGTATTTGGGGTTGAAGTAAAATACTAGAGTGGGTCTTTATTCTAGACAAGAGTAAGGTGGTGTGATAGAATGACTGTGGACACTTATTTTGTCCTAATTTCCAACTTGGAAAATAGCCAAAAAGCCATCATCAAATATCTTTTTGTTCTTTTGCCTGAACAAACCTTACCTGTCTCTGATGGGCTGTGTTACTTTATCATCTTGTCTGACCAGTATTGCTTTTGCTTCTGTGGTTCAATCCTTTAAAAAAAAAAAAAAAAAAGAAAGAAAAATCCAAACTTAGTATTTTGGTAGCAGGCTGTGTTCATGTATTCTGCCATATGGTAAGCTATTGATCTTCCCAACTCCTGAGTTTTCTTATGGTCTAATGTCATGACTAAATCTTAGTGGTTCTTAGCATAGCATTAAATACCTGTTTGATGACATCATAACATGTTCTTAGAATTCTGAGTTGTCAGTATCTTATACTGCATTAACTATGTATTTTTTTCATTGTTTTCATCAGGCTGGCAGATGGGGTCAGTTTTTCAGTAGTGGATTGTTGTTGCCATAAATAACCCTGCCCTTGTAGCTAAGAAGATGTTAGAGGAACTTATTGTTAATTTTTGTTATAGAAAGCTAAAACTATCAAATGTCACTTAAAATGGGTGTAAAATTTTAGTTAGCCAAAACCTAACATTTTGAACATGTACTGTTGACATAACTATTGTGTAGAAGTTAGTTTTATGTGTCTCACTTTTCATGCATTCTTCTTTATTATATGTAGCTCAAGCAGTGAACTGCTTCCAGGCATAGTAAAAAGAAATTCCAGCTTGTATGCTGTCTGAAACAGCAGAGCTAAAACTCAATATTCATTGAGAAAAGTAATTTTTTTCCTCCATTAGAATGCATTACTGGTGGAACTTCATGGGTTTGGCTGAAGTCTTAGTAACTATTTCCCAGTCCTTTGGAGAAAGAGTTGTGATCAGTCTTTCTAAAGACAAGATTGCAAAAGCAAGTTTAAATTCCATAACGAGATGTGTTAAGTTAGAATGGACTTGGGATTTTTGTGTGAACTTTTTGGTGTCAGGCTGACATGAAAAATCATCTGTTTCATTGAACTCCTTTCATTCTTCCCCTGTTTTGAAAGAAGTAAACAGGCCCTTATTTCCAAATAAAAGTGCAGAAGTCGGTGGCCAACTAATCAGACCATAACTGATTTCCTTTGATGATGAGCAGATACATCATTTCTCTGAAGAGCCATTTCCCTTTTCTTTATTAAATAGCTAAGGAAAATTAGATTTCTCTGTGCTGTGCTCAGAGAAGGCTGCTGGAGTGCTATTACAGACTTGAATAGCATGGAGGAAGACCCTGCCACAGCACAAAAGTACACTGCTTCCAGTTATGCTGTAAGTGCTTGTGTAGGCAGGTCATGGCTATGGTAAGTAAATTAGTGGGCAAAATTGAATATTGCTGCAGGACCACAGATGTTGGCATGGATTATGTTAAAAGAATTGACTATTGATGTTTGCAGCTGTGTTTATATCTGCTCTGTTTACTGGATAGCTTGGACACCTTTCCTATGTGGAAATTACTAATTAGTTATGCTTGTCACTGCTGAAACTTTTGCATTCTGTTTCTTGTCTGTCAGCAGCTGCAGGTTGCAGTGAGTTGTAGAAAGGCTGGCTACCAGTCAGTCATTTAGAAACTGTTTTATTTTTGAGTGTAACTGATAGAAAGGAGGCCTTTTAGCTGGTCATTTGAAGGAGAGGAACATCCTAATCAATCAAGTTTTGAGTGTTACCATATTGCATGAGGGACATGCTTATGTCCTTTGGTTTCTCCATTAAGTCTCATTTCATACATTCCTTTGGGAAGGGAACTGTGCACAGCCTTGTAAATGAGAGAGGAGCATTTTGGCTCTAACCTGCACATTGTGTTTATCTGGTCTGTAAAAAGGAGCATTAGACCTAGAAAATTCTTGAGCTGCTAGTATGTAAACAAAGTTGCATGGAATGGTAAGTTTTCACATGTCAGATACTAAATCCTTTTAAACTTACCAATTTAACTGCTTGTAAATTTTGTATCCTTTTTAAATGAAGAGTTGTGTCAAAAACATTGACTTTGATTGAGTGAGTGTTTAAAAATGGGACTCAATTGTTTCTCACTTCCAAAATATGGACCTAAAGGTTGTAGTAAATTTAACTGCATGTGTGCACTTTTGTTTATTTCTGTCCTAATGTAGTGTAGATGCTAGATGTGCCTCCTTTCCAGGAGGAAGCTAGGCTTTGGGGAATGAGTAGAAAGTAAAATCTGTAGAAAGGAGCTATAATTATAAACATGTGTGCTTCAGAGTGTATTACTCTTTTGTATTACTCTGATGATACTTGAACTTCAGTTAAATAATTGAATTGCATTTTACTGAAAAGACAAGACCCCTAAATCTTCCAATCTATTGCATAAAAAACCTTGACAAGGTTGATTTTATTTTAGCTGGTTAATGTGATTGTTGCCTCTGTTTTGTTAGCCAAGAGGATGGTCCTTCAAGTACATGTATGCACCATGGACATGCTGAACCTCAAATAAAAAGAAATTGTCCAGATTGAGGTCGAAGAGAAGAAAGGAAATGTTCTGTTAAAGGTTTTTACTGTAGTCCATCAGTATTTTCTCTTGCAGCTCTGAGGAGCTCTCAGCCATCTTGGGTACAAAAGCACTGTATCGAATTTTTTTCCTTGAAAGAAGGCCTCAGTTTCTTGAAGGTTGTTACATTCCTGTGTCAGAGGTGAAACTTTTTTTTGCTAAAGGACCATCTCTGGATGGACAGAAGATAGTGCCAGCAAAAGCACTGTTGGTTTGTCTTCTCAGCACACTGGGACAATGCCTGGCAGACTGTAAACCACATTGGACTGCAGAGGTAATTAAAAACCTGGAATTGTTCTTGGAAAGAAACGAAATTTAGTACAACTTGGTCAGTGATGGAAATGATACTCATATGACTTTGAGCAATGGTTTCAACCTTTAGTGGGTTGCTACAACATTCCTAATGAAGTTCCTCTTTAAAACACCTCGTATATTAGTTGTGCATGTGAACTGCCATTCCAGCTTTCTCTGGGATCATCAAAACCCCATGACACATTAGTCAGATGATGAATTTTAAAAATGATGCTATGCTAAGATTTGATAGCCTAAATTTTATACAATCCAAAATGTTAGACTGCTTTTTTTTTTTTGTTTGTTTGTTTGTTTCAGAAAGACTTGGGGAGCTAGTGTGTATCAAATGAAATGATTTTTTTTTTTTTTTTTTTTTTTTTTTTTTTTTTTTTGTTTCAGAAAGACTTGAGGAGCTAGTGTGTATCAAATGAAATGGAAGCTAGGGAATGGTAGCCATGACATTCCTGACTACTGTTTGGTGATATTACAAGAAAAATCAGGAATATGAGCATAAGTGAGGACTTCTCACTCATGCTTCTGCAGAAATCAGTTATATGAGTTTTTAGTGTAAAAGACCCAAATGAAGTTTATAGTGAAGCCATGTTTGAGCCCTGAATTAGGATTTTAGCTTGTATGGGAACATGATAGCTGGCTGACTCACCAGCTGCATCTCCTGCATGTGTCATTGACTGAGTTGGTTTAATTTGTTCTACAGATATTAGAATGCTATTAGCTTTGAAGCAGGAAGGAGACTGGGTATATGGAATGCTATAAAACTGGCTTGAAACCACATATACAGTTTCAGACCCAATTATGTCAGACTTCTTTTTGTATGTAGAGTAGTATGGAGATTACTTCCTGTATTCTGGAAGTTCCCACTTCTTTCTCTTTTCATGAAGACAAGAAATCATGGAAACAAATGATACATAACAGTAGTGTTTGTGTAAGGCTTGCAGTTATTTTTACTTTATCATGTGGCAAGAATAATTGAGACAGTATTTCAAGGTATCTGTAATCATTTGGGTAATCAAGATACCAGGATATAATTGTTTAATACAAATGTTCCTCAGGGAAATGCAGGGAAAAGTTAGTAAGCAAATTCAACATGTACAATGAAATATCTTTTTAAAAGAAATCTAAATAGGCTTTTTTAGAAAAAACAGATTTTGTCTGGCAAATGCAAATACAAGGAGTGCTAGCATAATTAGGCTTTCTGAAAGGTGATGCACAATACCTGAGTATTCTCAGGGAAAGAGGTTTGTACATTTGTATGCAATGTGGAATGTTGCAGTCTACCTTTAGCTGGCCTTACTTAAAATATTATACATGCAGCCCTCACTGCAGTATTCCTTTGAGTAATTTGAAAAACTAAACACAGTATTGTAGTCCTCTTGGTAATAAAGACCTGTAATCATCAGCTGATTAAGGATACTAAACATAAAGTTGTGATGCTGAATTTTATGTATTTTAGTTGGCATATATATATATATGCTGCATATCATGCATCTGTGTTTAGTATCAATATAAACATTTATGTTTGCAATATTTTAGAGGATGTAGCAGACAGGTCTTGTCTTGCCTGATTAGCTCATCAGGTGGCTGAGAATTGCTGGTAGTTCTGTTTTCCCAGTGGAAACTGTGTAAGAGTACAGTCTTTGGTAATTAAGTCTCGTGTACCCCCATCATTTTAAAGATCAACGTGTTCAAACTCAAAATTCACAATTCTTTAGGAGAGATGTGCATGACCTTAGGCAAGCAGAAGCCAGTGAACAGTTCTGTGCTCTGGGTTCGTTGGCAAGCCGGCAGCAGTGTAGCAGTTGGTGGGACTGGGAGCCTGAGTGAGTGCCTGCTTTGGAGCCATGTGTCCTCCTGCGCAGGGTAAGGAAGATGTGCCCCTGCCTGCTTGTCTCCAGACCTAGCCATCTTCAGTGGAAGGAGCTGATGTCCCAAGAGGGAGCTGGAAGTGGCATTTGTGTTCAAAATCCAGGATAAATTGGCAAGTTCTTGAGTGATCCCTCTCCAGAGAAAAGGCATGTTTTTACAATTGGTTGATTCTATTTTTTCATCACACATCAATAATAATTAGTAATAGCTTGAGCATCCTGATGGTGTTCTTGATGGTTTGGCATACATCCCAGCCCATGTAGGTTACCTTTTGTACTCTTTAAAGGTAACTTGGATTTCAGCATCTGAAAAATGCTGGGAATAAGAAGGAAACCAATTCTCTTTGCAGAGTTGAAAAACTGGCTGAGGTGAGTTGAGCAAAGGATCCTGTTCACTGGGATCTTATAGCCTGGGCTGGTTAGCTGAACGAGGATGGAGAGCTCGCCTAGATGTGGGAGGGGTTGGCACTCAGGAGCGCTCTGGGCTGGAGCTCTGTGTGCGGCCCTTGGCCGGGAAGCGCCGCGCTGGAGCAGCCTGGTGAGCGGGAGGGCTCCAGCAGGGAGGGAGCGGCAGAGGGGCGAGGTGGGGACAAAGCCCTGTCTCGTGTAGCTGGATTTACCACCGTGACCTAGCTAAGATCACAGGAGGGGCGCTGTGGTGTATCTGGCCGTCCTTGTTCCAGCTACAAACAGCTGAGCACATGACTACCATTTCTTTTCCACAGCAATGAGGAGTAGCAAAGGGAAGGATGCTTTGTGTCCAAAATAATTGAAGTGTAGAGCATCGTTCTTGCAGGCAAAAGGCAGACATTGCTGCAGGCCTGCAGATGTATCTGTTAAAATAATAACCAGGTTTTTAAAGAAACACTTGTTTAGGAAAGCCTTGAGGACACTGCCCAAAAAATCCAAAGGTTAAAGGTTTAAGACTTGTTCTCTTGAGTCTTTCCAGAATACTGTGTTAAGCAAAATCACACCTCTAAAGAATGGACGTTAAACGGAATCTCACACAGATTTCCCTGCATTTGCTGGAGTTGGTGATGCCCAGTGAAACTATCTGCTGTCATTCATACTAAATATATTCTCATTGCTGTCGCTGTGATTGGTAACTGGGGGAGCCCCAGCCTCTGTCAGGGCTAGAGTGAAACTTTTTCTCTGCTTTGTGCTGTCAGAGGAGAGGTACAGATCTCCTGGGAGTCAGTAGGATCCACCTGTGCACTGTGTGCACATATTGTCTTGGTGTGTGACAGACCTCTTGTGGCAGGGGTTCTCAGCAGAAAGGTGGGAGGCAGCAGTGCTGGCTCAGTGAGAGCCAAGTACAGCTGTGCTGTTGGGTGGGACGGGGCTCATGGAATTGGAAAGCTGGTGACATAGCAGGGATTTTCAGTCTTCATTAAGAGGAGGGTGAAGAGTCGAAAAGGCAGGTATGCTCAGTGTGTCCATAGGAATGCTGGTGCATTGCTCTTCACGGGAGGAAAAAAATAATTAAACCAAACTATAGTTTTACAGCTTAAATTCAGTAAAATAATTAATTCAAGTATTTGGATCTTTAATGTTGATATTGGTATTCCATATTTTCCACATCACTAGAATCAGCTGAACAAATGTAATTGCTGTTTCCATACTTTCCTGAAGAGAATAAACTACCATCAAAATAATTTGCTTTATTGCCAGTGATTTTCTGTTACAATTTAGACTAAGTTCCATTTTCATGTTAGTATCTTGCTTTATTGCCAGTGATTTTCTGTTACAATTTTCATGTTAGTATTTAAATGGAGCCAAAAAAGAAGATATACTTAAAATGAACAGGCAAAGCCAAACACCTAAAATTACTAATGACAATATATACTCACTTTCAAAAATTCTGGTATTTTATAATTTTTAAAATTTATAATTTTATTTTTTTTTAAATTATCCTGGACATTGTCATTCCAAATCAGGGTGTTTTATTTCCACTTCTCATCAAAATACCGATTTGTTTTCAGATTAGAGTAAAACCACACAGAGGAAAGAAATGCTAAAAACTGTGCATATGACTTACTTTACTATTAATGTTCTGATGCATATTGGATTCTGGAGGCAGTTTACTAGAGCCATAGATATAAAAAAATAGAGAATCTTCTTTATTAATGAAGAATGCATTTGTTCAGATCAGGTTTCTTGGGAAGGTTTTCTCATTTTCAAATTTCAGTGACCTGTTTTCTAGAAGGTTTTAAATCACTTTTCAAAGATTAGCTCTGAAATCTGCCACTGTTGTAAATTTTGAAATTAAGGTAGGTGAAATCATGAAATGTGAAAAATCCTGTTACTGTATGCTATCCAGGGAATTGGATGATGAACACATAGCTTGGTTCAGGAGTCTTCACTGATGCTGACAAGTTAAGAGAGCTGGCTCTAGATATTTAGGAGACCTGGAAAAGCCTGGCAAAAAGGATGTCGGTGTGACTAGTTAGCTGTTAGATCAGAATTGTGTTTTTCTTGATTTACCTTGGCCCTAGGTGACTGCCATAACTATTTTCCCCCAGACAAATTCTTCATGTGTTTTTGATGCAAATTTCACTGTGAGCCTTTTGATCTTCAAACATTTGGTTTTGGTAGTTGTGCACATTGCCTGCTCTGTGTATCAGTATTTTCAGATAGCTGGCTAGAAATAGTTTTGGGGTACTGATTCTCTGATACATTCTGATGCACCTCTGAGCTGCCCTGAGAAACAGTATTGTTAGGCACATTGTTTTGACTGACTTAACTGCTCTTGCATGGTGTTCTTGACCATATGCTTTTTATATTCTTCACCTAATTGCCTTCTTCGCACTTTTGAGTTAATTTTAATGCCCAGTGATATGTTGGTGAATGAATGTCAGCAAGATTCTTGATTTCTGTCCCTACACCACCCCCCTTCAGCTGTCCTACTGTACAGTGTAAGCCTCATCATTTATAAGGCAGACTGACCTTGAATTTTGTTTTATGCCTTAAGTCTTTCCAGTTCCTTTACTTTGTGAAAAGATAAAAATTGAATGTATGTTTTTTCTTCCCGTTTGCACCACATAGGGTATTACTCAAAATCATTGCTTTCCTAATCCTTACACCTAAGATTCTTAGAGCGGGTGACCCCTAAAGCCTGCTGCGTATGGCAGTCATTTTTACTGTGTTAAGATTGGCCCTGGTTCTGCCAGCATTTATTTTTGGAATTACTTGTGATATTTTAAGTAGTTTAAAGCCTTTGAGAAAATAATCAGTCTTAAGTGAGATGTATGGGTTACCTTCATTATAATGCGATTTTATTCAGAGTGAAACAGCAGTAATTTATCCTTTCATAGCAATAGTGAATAAAGGATATAGACTGAGTGAAATATTAATGCATGTATTAAACTTAGAATTTTGAAACCTCTAGTAATTTTCATTCCTTTCTTTTATAAAAGATGGTGTTAAATGCTAGTGTTGGAAGTGATTTTTTCCCAAGATTATATTTTTAAAATAGGTGTTGGGATCTTTGTGTTTTGGGTTGTTGTGGGGCTTTTTTTCTCTTTCCTTTTTTCTTCTTTTTATTATTTTTATTTTTATACCTGACTTTTGCTGTCCAACAGTGACAAGAACCAACTGGAACCTTTCTGATGATTATGTTGGTATCTTACTATCCCCACCTGTGGTTTGCGTCCCTTCCTCTGAAGACTTCCAGCAAAATTTGATACTATTTTCAGAATGAATGCTAAGCATATGAAAATTGAAAATGTCTTCTAGGAGAGATCTTAGGTGTCATGTTGTTGTTGGATAGTAAGTGGAAAGGTTGATTCCACTTGTTTGGGTTTGGCCTGTGTTGTTTTGCTTCTTTTCTGAAGGCATTCAGTGTGTCTTCTTTTTGATATGAAGTGAAAATAAAATACTGATGGATTTCATTGACAGGAAAGTTCTTTTTAGCATTGTATCCAACTAAAGCTTCTGTTTCAGCAATCAGTCACTAAGTCTATATATTGTGCTTCAGATAAATGCACAGTGTGATGAGTTGGAGTTTTTTATTTCAGTTGAAATTTTGCTTTAATTAGATTCTGTTGGAGGATCTTGGGAAGGGATTTTTTTTTCCCTGTAGCTCAGTGTCTTTAGTATCTTAGTAATTATTTATAGGCTGTACTGCAGATTTCTTTGTGATGTTGAGTAATTCAGTGTTTTGGGGAAATCAGCAAAGTTCAAAATAAATAGTTACCAGCAACACCACTTCAGAAGTTCCTCTTCAGCCTCGGTTTTGCTGAGTTTTAACATTTGTTAGGTAGCCAGCTCTTCTCTAAGGTGCACCTGGATTTCCTGTGAGTTGGTCTGGGAAAGGATTAAACTCTGAGTTACCGTGTGTCAAAGCCACTTACATTTTCAGATGCTGAAGGGAAGCTCTAGTGAGGGGTTCACTGGGAGATGCCCCCAAGAGCTGCTCTTCTGCCCATTGCACTGGTCAAGAAGTAGCAGCAGATAATGATCAGCACCAGTTAACCTTTGCTTTCCTGGGCCCACTGCTTCCCTGACTAGCAGCACCTCTTGCTTTCCCCCAAAACCCTGGGGTCTGTCCAGGCACTGGGGGTCAAGGACACTTGGTGTAGAAGTGACATGAAGAGAAAGTGAGGAGTGAAAAAAAGCAGCAGTGTGATGCCTTACTGTGAGACTTTCAGCTGTTGTAGATTCATGGGCACAGGTTCTTTGTGACTGTTTTCTGCACACTGGCAATGCTAGAGGATGCTTTGCTTTGGTGTAAATCAGAAATGGGGTGCCGCTCCTCCTCTGTCCTGGCACTATAGGGATTAGTGAAGATGAGCAGTGGGTGGTCTGGGGGGTTACACTGATATTCTGCTTCAGTGTCTATCAGTAAAGTAGTTGATTGTTTCTATATCTATATTTCTACAGTTTCTGTGCCATTATTTTAGTTTATCAAGATGTTTTAAAATAAGCTTTTATTTCTATTTATTTTTATAATGGAAAGTCGGAGCTGATCCTGGATCCTGTGGTATTTCTGTACTGCAGAGATGAGCTCTGTGAGTATACATCAGGAGTTTCTTGGGGTTTGTCTTTGTGGATTAGCAACATACTTGCATGTTACTTCTATAATACTGTATTGCTGGTGATGCTTGTGTTACTTCTGACAGCCTTGGGGTCCTGGAGAAATTAATAATCTCAGTGTTGCTTTGTGCATATTGTATATTTTTTCCTTTGTTTGATGCAGCAGGTTTGCTGGAAAAAAGGAGTTTAAAAAGGACAACTTTTGCATCCTCTTCTTTGTGTCGATACAGGTGGCGACAGACAAGGTTGCAGGCAAGCTGAGCTCCACTCTCTCATGGGTGAAGAACACGGTATCGCACACCGTCAGTCAAATGGCCAGCCAGGTGGCGAGTCCATCTGCCTCCCTCCACACCACATCCCCCTCCACCACCCTGTCCACACCCGCCCTGTCACCATCCTCACCGACACAGCTGAGCCCAGACGACTTGGAATTGCTTGCTAAACTTGAGGAACAGAACAGGTGAATGGAAAACTTTTTGCTCCTCGAAGCAGAGTCATGAGACTAAAACTGGTTTATTGCAATTGTAGCATAGAGGCTGTTAAGGGGGAATTAGTTAAAAAATTCATGGCACAGCACATTTGAAAGCCCAAAGGTTTAAGAATTTGTATTTTTGTGCTGTGTTTTTACAAGTTATGTTTTTCTGAAACTCTAGAAGGTGTTTTTCAGGAGTGTTTATAGCTGCCTCTAATAGTAAGAAATTACACAGTGATTTTTAGAATGCAATTTAAAGTAAAGTATCCCAGGGGCAACACTTGTGTGTAACCTTCTTGTCCTCTAAGATCATAACTATAATTTCTATTAAGTTCTTGAAATCTTAAATCTTTCTCAATTTTTTTTTTCACTTTTATCCAATTCTTGTTTCAGCTGCATAACCTGCTATGTAGAGAGATAGAACCATGTTCAGCCCCCTTCTTGCTGTTACACTAGTGGTGCCTGATGCTTAACATCCTAAATTAATCAAAAGTAAATTCCTAATCAGTTTTTTCTGTTCATCTTGCCTTTTTATATATAGTAACAGTTTTCATGGTAGCCTTGTCATGAGTGCCTATTTATCTGCACCGTGTACAATTCAAGATGCAACTTTCAGGTGGATCAGTTGCTCTTGATGTGCACAGTGATGCAAATTCACAATATCACTAAGAAATTAAATTGGACTATATAGTTTCTTAATGTTTAATTTCCAGAAGCCATACTCATTTATACTTTTGAGTCAGGACTCCTAAGTCATCTGTCCTTTTGCAAACTCTAGTTACATTTAACAAGTGTGTTTCAATAATTTTTGAGAGGTTGGCTGTAAACAACTTGAGCTCCAAGTAGCTTTTTAGATTTGGCAGGTAGCTGCAGGACTTTGTTACCTACTGGAGATGGCTATCCCTGAGCTGTAGTGCGGTGAAGGTTTGATAATTTAGCTCAAACTAGCTTCTGTTCCAGCTTCTGTGAGAGTGCTTGTCTTTGCACTGAGGCAGTTGAGGTACTCTATTTTTTATTGGGTTGGGTTTCTTTGGAAGTTTTTTGCTTTTATCTTTTGTTGGTTTGGGGAGTGGGGGGTTGCATTTTGGTGGATTTTTGTGTGGCTTTCTTTAGTGATGTTTTTTTTGTATGTGGGGTTTTTTTTTTTTTGGTTTTTTTTAATTATTTTTTTAATATTATTCTTGGTTGGGAGGGGTTGTTTGGTTTCAGGTTTTGTTTTAGTTGGTTTGTTTATTTGTTTGGTTTTTTCTCTGCTGAGTCACTTCTGAGGGTAGTAACTTTCAGTGGAGGAAGCAAGTAACTGGGGGGAGCAGAGGCAATGCCTGTATGTCACCAGGCAAGTCTTCTCCCATGCTTGCATTCTGCAGCCTGATAGCAGCACAATTTTAAGGGAATTTGATACATCTGTCCAGATTTTGACAATAGAAGGAAGCTTCTAGAGCCACCTCATACACTCTTCCTTGTCTTCGAAGATGAGCTCCATTTAATTTTTGCCGTGCAAATGAAAAATTATCAAAAGAAGCAAAAAAACAGTTAAATAGCGCTTTTTTAGAAAGCCAATTTGCATTTAATCTGAGGCTTTCTAGTCTGTTCATGACAAAGCAACTAGCTTGTATTTGAAAAGCAAACTGTTCTTTGGACTGCTTATCTCTGTTGGAGTGTAATGTCTTCACATCTAGAGCCTTCTCATTAAGGCCTGCAGTCAGACTGCCTGCCTTGTTGAAAGAGGAATGTGAGCTTGGGCTTTCTGTCTAAAGTCAGCTTTCTTCATTTAGTAAGTAAACTAGCCAATCTTGTCTGGTTTTATTTCATTTTAGCCAGACATGTTGTTAGTACCACACTAGCCTTGTGTGTGAGTTCTCTTTAGAGCCTGGCCTATCAAGTGTACCCTTGCTGGTGAGGTACTGCCTGCCCTTTAATACTGAAATTCGATGCTCTTGTGCTGGCTGCTCTGTAGTTTCAGAACAGTTTGCATCTGCAGTTTAGCACAGTGCCACTTTGTTGACAATTGTACTCTGTTCACAGGGAACCATTCTTTCTGCTTGCTGGAAGAACTGCTGCTGTGGATGTTTGTAAAGGTTTTGGGTTTTTTGAAAGCTTTTATGTCAGAAGGAGAATATGAATTAGGTAACAGAAAAGGGAAGAACTCAAATTGTTTCAAGCTATGTCTTGTAGCATTCTGTAATCTAATTATACTGAAAGTCCCCACAGAATAAAGAGGAAGCTCAGTCCAGAGTCCTGGTGGAACAGTTTGGCATTAGTAAATGATTTATAAAGTTTTAAATGAAAGAAAAGAGTGACTAAACGTCACAGAACTTGCGACTTACTGTGAACAGAACTTCCTGTTTTCAAATCTAAGGACAATGAGTTTATCCAGGTAAGGTCTAATTACAGAAACTTAGTATAACTTCTACAGAAACCTGTGAAAACTGGAAGTGTCTCATTAGAATCTGGTTTTTATAATCTTAATGTTTTCCTGTGTGATTACTTTGAATTTGGTTTTGAGGCATTGTCTTGGGTAGAGAGAAAGAGTTTCAAACTAATTTTTCACTATGGATCAGTATAAGCCAGGTTTCTAAACATTTGAAGTGGATTTTTAAAGTATTTTCTTTAAAACTAGATTCTATGCATTCCATTAATAAATGGAAAATTATTTGAATTTTTTTAAAAAATAAAATCCCAAATGAAAATTTGTCTTGAAAAGGCTTTTTTTTTCTTTTTCTTTTTTTTTTACCATTTAACTCTTTTCCAAACAAAATTCTCCTGTAGAAACTGTGCTATTTATCTTCATGAGTTAAATTACTTTTTTCCTTGCTTTCATAAACACCAGTAGGTGAAAGCTGGGAACAGGGAAAACTAGTATAAATAACTTCATTGTAGCAGAGAGCTTAAATATTGTAGGTATTTCTGTATTATTAAATATTAGGATTTCTGAGATTTCTGTACCATCTCAGATGCAATATGCCTTGGGCTATAATTTGTTAAGTATCTATAACATAACCTGACCTTGCTGAAATGCTGGGGGATTAACTTTCATACTAATTTTTGAGAAATTATTCAACCACGTGGCTCTGCTATACTGATACTGGAATTCTTAGAAGTTAAAGCACAGATTAAACTTGTGGTATAGTGAAACACTTCCAAGTTAGTCTGAATTCCTGCTCTTACCTAACACATGGTCCAAAAAATTTCCCCTGCTTATGGGGCTCAATATTAGTTAAGGATAAACAAAGCATTGCCTTTTTGCCAAGTCCATGGCCACAGCAACCAGCTCACAGGAAAGTCTCCTCAGGAACTTGTCTAGCACTTGACACATCTTGATTTGTACTTTGCTGCTGGACAGCCCCAGAGGTTCTCATGTTTGAGCTCCTCACTTTAATTACACATTCATTAGCTCTACTAGTCACATGTGTTGCCTCGTCCTTGGTCTGTAGGTCTGGGATTTCTCTCATGTGTTTATAAAACACCGTGTTGATTTGTGAACAGTTGTCAGCAAATGTCAGTTCTTTTAAAATTACTTTAAAGGTTTTAATTGTTCTGTCTTTATTTACACTGTCAATTTTCAAAAAGTGTAATCAGGTAGACTTATAGGAGGCTAATTTTTTGTCTTTTAAATGACTGCATTTTAAAGTTCTTTGACATTTGATGTTACCAGTGAGGGTATTTAACTTCCTTAGGTTTTCTTTGTCAGTCTGATGCATGACAGCTGTGGGTGACATTTTTATCTGTTTCTTAAAATGCTGCAGTGTGAGCTATTCTATCTGCAGATTTACTTGAGATCTCAAGAGAAAGCAGTAGCATTGAACGATTCTTTTCACATTTAGTCCAAATGAATGCTGTGAAACTGTTTCACTGAACCTCTGGGTGCATTCTTTGTCAAGAAAACAATTAATAGTGTGATCCTTTGATTAGAAGAACTTGAATTTGGTTTTTGTGTGCTTTCTTTGCAGACTCTTGGAAACAGATAGCAAATCCTTACGATCAGTAAATGGGTCAAGAAGAAATAGTGGCTCTTCTCTTGTATCTAGTTCATCAGCTTCTAGCAATCTCAGCCATCTTGAAGAAGACTCGTGGATCCTGTGGGGGCGGATTGTGAATGAATGGGAAGATGTACGCAAAAAGAAAGAAAAGCAAGTTAAGGTAGTTGGAAACTGTTGTTTGGATTTATTTTTAATGTGATATAAATGATACTGTTTTATCTTTGTGATGGGCTTATTGTTTTTAAAAAATATGTAATACAAACTACAAATTGAATCTTTCCATCCCTAAGCCTTAGTGCTTCCTGTGTAACCTTCCTATGTGCTGTCACCCAGCAAATGTCTCCTGCTGAAAACCAGATGCATTTACTGTATCTTGAATACTAACTAAAGCTTTCAGTTTACCTCTGATGAGAGATTTCCATGAGTGCAGGGATGCTTAGCTTCATGTTTCCAAAAATGGAATTACCGAAAATCAACTGAAGGGCATCTGATAGCTTGATGCTCTGATTATGTATGTGTATGCTATGCTGCTATATAGTGAGCAGCTCTCTTTTTAAAGCATTCTTAATAGGAGAGCTGATAATTATACTCAAAGGCTATAATGAGTTTAGGTTTTTGTGCTTGCCAAGTATGTTGATCCCAGAGATGACCTTAGGCAGAAGAACTCATAGTTTCTAAATTCTGGGTGGATTGGATGAACTTTGACCGGTGTGTCCAGGCTGGGTTAGTTGTGGTCATGTACAGAAGTGGAGTTCAGTTACACTTTAAATTCAAACCAAAAAGCATTTGCTGCATTTGAACATATCCATGTTTCAGTGGCAGCAAGCAGAACAGTGTGGGATTTTTTTGTTAGTAGGCAAGTTTGTTCTGCTTTAGTTCTTTATTGGCTGTAGTCTGTAGTTTTATGTGCAGAATACAAATGTGTCAGGGTCTTTTGAACAGTTGGAAATGTGTGTCTATGAATAGGTTGTGGGAAGGCAGAACAATGGGCTAAAGTAAAGAATCTTTTGTATGGAGCAGTTGTGAAGAGAGAACATGACTTGAGAAAGGAAACAAGGGAAGAAAATGAACTAAAAATTTCCTGCTTGCATAGGGAAAGCAGTTTCTAGAAAGGTGTTCCAAAAGGGCATGAAAAGAAGGCCATAGGAATCTGGCAAGAGAAAGGAAAAGTGAGGTGGTAATAAGAAGATCTGGTTAGTTAGAATTTGTTTGAACATTTTCAATTGTCACAAGTGTCACTTGTTTTTACAGCTGGCCAAATACAATTTGAGGAGTATTTGACTAACTTTCGGGGAATATTTAAATGTATTGCTGAATAATATGTTGAAAACTAGCCAAGTTTTCCTTTGCTGTGAAATAATTCTCAGTATTTTTTTGTTGAAAGTCAACCTTAACTGTGAGTCTGCATTTCTGATGGAATATCCGAAGATCCACACCTATTTCCTGAGCATGCCAGTAGGTAAATAGGTAGCAGCATAGGTGTCTTTTTGTCCTGGCTGTAAAAGCTGGTCTTAGGTTATTAGAAATCTGGTCAGTTTTTAGGTTTTAGGCATAAGTGTGTGGACCTTCCTCCAAAGATGATGTGTTCCATCCTTTATATCTCTCAATCCACTTCAGAACTTTCTTCTTTTTCATGAAGCACTTCTGAAGGATGACTCAAGTCCTGCTGTTCAGTTCACATGGCATGTCCAGTAGATGTGTTTCCTGCTGTTCCTTTTAGGAAACTTGGAGGGGTTAACTATTATTCTGTCAAGCAGGCATGTTAATGAGGCATTAGCAAGAAGTTTCTTGCTTTATTAGTACCCTTGAGGCTTTAGATGACTGATGTTCCGTCCAGTTGCATTGTTGACAAAGGACAGGTAGAGACAGTTGTTCTTGTCTTGGATTGGGAATCTTTTAGGAAAAATACCTTGGTGTTGTGTTGTAGACAGGAGAAATAGTTGGAGTGGCATCACTACAGTGGTTCTGAAGAAGGATGGATTGAGAGCTTAGGGATATTCAAAAATGGAGGTCAGTGATGCAAAACTCCTGCAGCAGGCTTAAGAAAAACAAAACTTGAAAGGCAGGGTCTCTTTGAAAGTTATCAGTGTTGCATTAATTCATTGTAATGTTGGAGAAGTAGGAGAAATAGGTGGAACAAACAGGAAGAAGAGGAAGCTTTGCAGAATAGGAGGTTACTCTGGCTTCAGAATAAATAATAATGGAAGAAATTAGCCTTTAGGAGACAGAATCCTTGATAACCTTAGGGTACAAAAAGGAAATAGTCTTGAAGAGACAATTTTCTAGGTCAGACTGATGCTAGTTGCAGAACATACCAAGAGTCTGGTAAATTCCTGAATAATGCTTCTTTCTCAGTTTTCAGATCAAGCAGCAAGACTACTTGTCCTTGTGATTTCTTAAAGGACAAGTAACAGGTTCTTAGGTGTACTCATCTGGGCGTGTTTGAATTGTATAATAGCATAATTTTTTTTCAAAAGATTAAGTAAATTTAGTTAATTTAGTAGGTGTAAACTTAATGTTTTCTTGGTCCAGTGTCTGAAACTGCATTTAAATAATTTCTTAGAAGATAGCTTGGAAATACTGGCACACCAGAGAAATTGGACAAAACTTGTCAAGTGTGTTAAATGATAGTGGTACTGGGCAAATTTTTTGTTGCAATTGACTGTGCTACAGTTAGTTCTACTTTTTGTCATTTACCTATCTTGGAAGTAATTTTTAGTCAGTGACTTCTTAGGTCTCATTTTCACATGACTTGCTATGGATAAGGGACTACTTTAAGAGGCTAATTTAGCCACTAAAATGATTCAGAGACTGCTTACTTTTGTGAACCTAATAATCCCACTAAATTTGATGTTATAAACTGTATGAGGAGTTTTTGTCATAATGGAAATTTTTTTCTGAAATTGTGAGGAACTTGATTTGAAGTTGTTTTTTCTCTAGGTTTATTTTTTGTAATATTTTCAGGAAATATGAAATGTCTTTTTGTGCCTTAGGAGCTGGTTCGAAAAGGGATACCTCATCACTTCAGAGCAATTGTTTGGCAACTTTTATGCAGTGCTCAAAGCATGCCAATTAAGGATCAGTATTCAGAGCTTTTAAAAATGACATCTCCTTGTGAAAAATTAATAAGAAGGGACATTGCTAGAACATACCCTGAACATGACTTTTTCAAAGAAAAAGATAGCCTTGGGCAGGAGGTCTTGTTCAACGTAATGAAGGTGAGTTGGTATTTCAGCCCTTGAAAATATATTAGCAACAACATGCACCAGCTTGGACTACCTTGTATATAGAGAACTTGCACCAGTTTCATAAGTTTTTTTTAAGCCGTAGACACTGGGATGGTTTAACAAATCCTATTTTAGTTTCGATTGCATTCATAAGTTTTTTTATATCACAAGGTAAAACCAAGTTGGCATTGAAACAAAGTCACATACTTACTGCTCATTGTGTAATGGAATGAAGTGTGCCATGAATTAAAGTAAACAGTGTTGCCTGAGACAAGGACATTGGCAATCAGAACTAGTATTCAGTTTGCAGGTATTTCTGAAGTGCACATGGCAGGTACAAGCTAATGTGCAGTTGTTCCAGTGCCCAAACACAAAATGAAAATGCCACTGTAGCATTGTTTGCATTGCTTAGTCTTCACTAGAGGTTAAACTTTGAAGGTCAGGCTTTTCCATAGAACATGGTTTCAATGGAAAAGTTGGCAGGTTTCCAAACCTTAGTAATTTCCATAAGTCTAAAACAAAGATGCTACCTGCATGGAGATCACCACATTTCATTCATCTGTAAATAAAACTGCAACACATTTTTTTCTGAGGACAATTTTTTCATTGTCTGGTCTGTCTCCTATAAAAGTAGTACTTCGTGAGATTTGTATGCCAGTGGTCTCTCTTATCTTTTACCAAATTCCTGTAGTTGAAAACTGCCTGTGTTTTTGGTAGGTATGCCTTAGTTTTAGCTTTGTATGTGCTCAGATAGCTGAGTTTGTAGCAGCAGGTAGAAACTAGAATGCCTGACTAAAACTTCTGGGTAGGATGTCTGCCTTTGCTGGATTTGGGGAGAGGAAGAATAAGTTATTAACCAGATAGCAGGATGAGCCGTGATTACTTTTTATTGATAATGAGGTTTTAATTGTTGAGAGTTTTAACTTTATTTTCCAGGCTTACTCTTTGGTGGATCGTGAGGTTGGATACTGTCAAGGAAGCGCTTTTATAGTTGGATTACTGCTTATGCAGGTAAAAATATTTAAAAACATGTGAAACTTTAAAATCCAAGCTAGAATGCATAATATATTTTGGCAGTTTATTGGGAATTTTTGCTATGGTTTTGCTTCATAATTTTATTACAATAAAGTTGTCAAGGGCAGCTGTTTAGTCTGGAAATAAAATGAGATTTACTTGGTGTCATTCTGTTTGCCAAGATACTTGTAATGGAGTGGGATAATGTGTTTGTTTCTCAGAGCCAAGGTAGGATTGCATGCTTGCAAGCTATTTTGCTGAGTGATTATTTCAAAAATAAATTAACTTCTTGTTTCTCTTCTATTACATGGAATCTCCTCAGAGTTCAAATGAAACTACACAGTTGACTTTATTATCTTGAAGCTTCTTTGTATTATTGGTTTCTGACCTCCATTTCAGTTTAGAAATTATTTGCTAGAATTTAATATATACAAAAGTTCATTGGAGTAATTGGCTGTAAATCCCTTAAACAAAACAAAAACCTCAAAACAAACAAACAACCAACCAAGAAAAAAGCTCCACTGTGTGCACACACACACACACAAAACCCCCACCCTAAATCCTCCCACGCATTTACTCTGATATATTGTTGTTTGTCCAGAGTTTTTACTGTGCTTTTTTTGTTTTTGATATAGATGCCAGAAGAAGAGGCATTCTGTGTGTTTGTTAAATTAATGCAAGATTACAGACTGCGAGAACTCTTTAAACCAAGCATGGCTGAACTGGGCCTTTGTATGTACCAGTTTGAATGCATGATACAGGTACATACAAAATCTATCACACTTGCTCTTCAGTAATTATTAATAAGGAACTTGGGAGTTAGAGCTCAAGAGCAGGCATGTCTATTGGCTAACAGACTGTACTCTTGACAATAAGTAGTTTCAGAACTTTTTTTAACCTTTGGCAAACAGTGACTGGCTTTAAACACTGAAGCATGAGAATTTGTATTGCTGCATTTAAGCATATGAATGTTTAATTCTGTTTGGATTGAAGACTCTGAAAGTCAAAAGTCTTCATAGCCAATTTATAGTATCTTAAAAGATGAAAACTGGGAGGTTCCCTCATATCTAGACTTGAAATTGTTTTCAGATTTGAAATGCAGGTTCTTCCTGGTCAGGCTGATGGAGAAAAATAGGTTTCTGTTTTGTGATCCAGTTTCTAACGTGGTGGTCAGGGGTGAGATAGCACATAGCCTTAGATTTTGTCAGCTCTTTTTAGTAGCCTGTTCTAGTTATTACTCAAGGATTTACAAGCTTGACTTCCCCTTAGGATCAGGAAGTGTTTTTGTTATCTGCTTTGCAGGGTAGACATTCTATAGGATATTCTGTATTGGGACTTTAGTTGCATGGTTCTTGAGAATGAGTCATATCTTTCCTAGTCCTTTGCTAGTACAGACAGCTCCTATCTGTACTAAGTATCAATTTCTTTCTTGTATTCAAAATTTGTCAAAAACATGTCTGCACCAAAACTACAAGCAGAAGCTTAATGTACTTGTGTATTTTATTCCTCTTCTTTTCCAGGAACATCTTCCAGAGCTTTATGTGCACTTTCAGTCTCAGAGTTTTCACACTTCTATGTATGCATCGTCATGGTTTTTAACTATATTCCTTACGACTTTTCCACTACCAATTGCAACAAGAATATTTGATATCTTTATGTCTGAGGTAACTACTAATTAGTAGTCATATGTTGTATTTCAAGAGTAGCTGTTGAAAGTGGTTATTTAGGTAGTGGTATAAATCCCATCACGATGCACAAATCTCATAGTCTTGCTTTTTATTTCTTATACTGATCAGATTATTTTAAGGGAAGGTGTCTGTGTGTGCAGTTTGTCAAGGAAGAGCAGCCAAGTCACTGAATGTTGATATTGTGTGTAACTTTGTGCTCTAAGCCTGTTGAAGTGCTCTGAAATCTGTTCTTTCTGGATGCAGTGCATTAGCATTGCATGCAGCAGGGACATCCATTCTTGAGTATTATGGTGAGTTTGCAGTGGAAACCAACGCTGCTTTCAGGCCAAAGCTAAAGTTCATGGGGATATGCAAGCCAAGAAGGGGGAGTGTTAGTTCTTTTTCTTGTCCAGGTGATGATCGGTAGCAAAGAAATTTTGGGAATTATTCAGTATCATTATCACAAAGACACCTCTGCTGTGTTTAGGATTAGAGTTTTACATAATTGTAACTAGTATAATCATAGCTTATGCTTGCCTTGCAGTCATCTTTTAGAAAGCAGTAAGTCAAAGGTGGATCCTTTCAGCTTGCCCTCAGGAAAATCCAAGATGGGGTATATAGTGAGAAATTACTTTTTTTTTCCCCAGTAGTTTAACTGCATTGTACTGTGTCTGAAAATAAAATAGCTTTTTTGAGAAGTACTGAGGATTTCTCTACTAGATATACTTAAAATGGTTGATAGAGCTGACCTAGAGAATTCCTTGTCACTTGAAATTTTGTCTCATCACTAGCTTCTCTGAGGCAGATATCTGGCATCAGGAGAAATAGCCAGATTGCTTGTCCTTGGAACAAAAAAAGAAACAGAAGCAATTTCTTGAGAGATATTTTCAGTAGCCCTTTTTACTTGTGCTTACTTGGGTGAGATTTCCAATGTTAGTAAATAGTAGAAAAACTCTGTGCTGTTGACAATGGCATGAATAATTGTTGGATATTTTTTGACTTCTCTTTTCAGGGTTTAGAGATAGTATTTCGAGTAGGTTTAGCATTACTTCAGATGAACCAGGCAGAATTACTGCAACTTGACATGGAAGGAATGTTACAGGTAAGCTATGGTTATAATAATTTTAAGAGATACCTGAAATGTGTAATGTCTATTTCCTTGCAGCTGTTAATTATATGTAATCTTGTGCTCTGATTGCTTTTAGCACTTTCAAAAGGTCATTCCACATCAGTTTGACAGTGGTCCAGACAAATTAATCCAAGCATCTTACCAAGTCAAATACAATGCAAAAAAGATGAAAAAGTAGGTATTACATTTTGAGAAAATAGATTATACTATTGCTGAGTTACTGTTTGTTTGCCCTTAAGAATTGTTATTCAGTGTTTCATTTTGAATTTTCCATCTTTATTTTTTGGGGGTTTTATACTATACAAACAGTTAAAACTGCATTTCTGTCTGCAAAAAAAATATTCCAAAGTAGTATTTGATATTTTTCTTAAATATAATAAAACTATATCTCATTTACAAAAATAACTAAAAAAGCATTTGAAGAAAACATCAAGTTTTGGGGAATTACAGCACTTCTGTAAAAATCAACTTAATAGGAAGGCTGGGTAGCGGGTGGTTTTCTGGTGGGAGGGGAGATTGTTTTTTTTCAGGGTGAAAGGAGATGAAACTTCTATGGTCTGGCCTAAATTCTAAAAATTTTAGTTCTCAGGAACTGGAAAAATAATCATGGTGCTAAAGAGTGCATTTATAGTTAAAATTAGTGCTGTTTAAAATATAAATTGATAAAATTTTGTATTAACATTGAGAACAGTAAAACAGCTTTCATGTGGGGTTTGAAATCTTGAGAATACTGCTACTTGTTTCTGTTGTTCTTAAGGTTAGTTGCATGTCTCTTCTGCCTTTGGTAAATTTTGCTTTGATTAGTAAGCTGCAGATAGTGTCATTTGCCAGGGTTGAGTTTTTTGGGTTGCCTGTTGGTTTTAAAGTATCCTTTGTTCATTGTTGCACTGCAGGTTGTGCCCAGGGTCTTCCAAGCTGAATTTGTCGATCTTTTTCTTTTCTTTTCTGTCAGCAGTCTATGATCAATAGAGTGAGCAGTCTTCTCTAAAAAAGAAGTAACAACAGAACTTGCAGGAAAAATATTTTCTTTGCAAACCAGTGCAAGTGTATGCAGTTGAAAATCCTCCATTTCGAGTCTGAACTTGCTGATCTGCCTTCTGTAGAGGCATTGTTATCTCAGCTTGTGGGTTTTTCTTGCTGCCTTTTTCATTTGGTTTGCTGGGGAAAGGCTAAAATTGGTTTATATTTAAGGTATTTTTCTCAGATTTCTTTGCATCTTTGTCTTCCAGGCTTTCCAAGCTCTGATTTCCTTTGGCTGAATCTATTGAATTGATGACTGTATTGCATAAAGGGGTTATTACAGAGTAGCTCCAAATTGCTGCCACTGTAATGTATCCAAGCAAGCTCCTGCACTTCAGAATGCTGGTTCAGTCTGTTCATATCTACTGAAATCTGTGTTTAAATTTAAGGTCACGTCTAAGCATTTACAGGAGTGTATTTCAGAGGAAATATCAATAATCTGTATCTCTGTTCTACTGTTATTTATTAGGTATTACACCAACAAGTAAATGATCCACAATGTTTCTGATCATAATTTACTATTTTAAATTTTTAGGCTAGAAAAAGAGTACACTACAATAAAGACAAAAGAAATGGAAGAACAAGTTGAAATTAAAGTAAGGAACCCTCAACATATTTATTTATGAATAAGTTTAATTCCTAGATGGGGGGGATTACATGTTTGAACTCTGCATGTAGCAGGACATAATTAAGGTCCCCAAATTCTTTTCTTTCAGTATTTGGGATGTCTGTTCATAAAGGACACCTACAGTGAAATTATTGAGACTTCTGGTGGACATTTAAAAAGAAATCTTTGGGGACCTGCTGTACTTATTTTTTTTTAGTATTTCCCACTGACAAAAGCTTAATAATAGATGCCCTCATTTATCAGAGGTTCCAAATATGCTGGTTTAGATGTAGGTGCTCCACACAGGAGGTTTGTATGACACATGTTAAGATAGACTTCCTAGAGTGCACTTGAGTGGTTTGTCTTTGATTTTAAGATCTTGACTTTTCTTATGCATTGGACCCAACTTGTGGTATCTTCTGTCTGCAGTCACTTTTCCTATTGGAGCTTTTGCAGTTAATACAAACTGGGGGAAAAAAAGCCAAGCTGCCAGTGGAGTTTATTTTTCCCTTTTTGCTAACTGCCCTACTTCCTGTGTGTACTTAATCGCTGCATCTTTTTGCTTTTGTGACATAAATAGGCTTTTGATGCCTTTTTTTCCTATTTTACTTTTTTTTTCACAGCATGTTGTTTGATCTGGATTTTCTTCCTTGTGGTTTTAGCCAGTTCTATGAGAAAAGACAGTGGGAGAAATGATATGCAAGTGTATTATGTAAAACTTTGTTGAGGGAATTAGGTACAGCCTTCCTTCTTCCTGTCCACTGCTAGTCATTCTGCCTTTCAGTATTAGTTTTTGAGGCATAATTTCTTCAGAAAAATGAGAAGCACCTGGGAGCACAAAGGTATTAGGAAGCCTTTTCTGGCAGTTTGTTATTGTGCCAGGCAGTGAGGTAGTTAGCAGCAGGAATACCTGCTGTAACAGCAGCTGAAATCAGATTTGCAGGGCTCAAATGACAGCTCTTTGCAGAACAGGACAAAGTAAAACCATATGAAAGACAACTGTAACTTTAGATTCTAGTATATGAACTATACTATTGTAGTATATGAACTAATTTCAAATCTTTCTTGCTGCCATCCTCCCCCCCCCCCCCCCCTAAATATAAAACAGAGCTACATCCTACCTCCTATATCAGAATCTAGATCCCTGCATATCCGAGAGCCCTAATCGCCAGCTTTCATCTGATACCCAGAGCCTGGGCAAAGGACTTCTTTTTTCCCTTGAAAAAAAACCCTTTTTTTTTGCCCCCCCCCCCCCCCCCCCCCCCCCAAAAAAGGAGAAAGCAAAAAACCTCCCCAAAACAAAAATCATGAAGCCCACCCCAACAAAAAGCAACCAAAAAATCCCAACCAAACAAGGCAAACATATCTGTTTCTAGGCCCTACTTTGGGGCATATGTAAATAATTTTTGACTTAGCAGAGCTTCTTCGCAGAAGAGACTATTTTAGGGGAGATAGAAAAAGAATCTTATTTTGAGTTGCCTTTTAGCCTGGCAGAATAAAGCATCGACTGAACTGAATCCAGTCCCTCTTCTGAGGTGTAGGGATCTCTTCTGTCTGAATGCTGACTGCTTAAGTTTACAGGAAGTGCCCTTGTAAAGTACAGAGTTCAGTACAATTCTCTCTTACTTCTGGGACATGTGAGGTAATTGTCAGTATAACCTTACAGATTAATGTAAATTCTTGTGAGGAAAGGGAAGGAAACCTTGTGGCTGCCTCATTAGCCTGTCCTATTGCACTGTCATGCCCCATAACCAGGAAGACTTTGACCCTGTTTATGAAGGGGAGGCTGTCAAGTCTGGTGTGGGGTTAAGCCCCATGGTTCACCTGCAGACATACAGCTTTCAGCAAATGCAACATAGATGCTTTCAATTAACATGAGATGTGCTCTTGTTTTTGCTGTAGCAAGCTGTTGAAACTCATATTATGAGCTAGTATATAATATGAAAGGATGTTAAGAAGGTCACAAATTATTTTTGTATTTATATTGGTTTTCAGGGATGTGATGAGATAAAAATGTTGTTAGTTTGCTGTGCTTTTATCAGACTTTCAATTCATAATTTGGGAAATGGATTTGTGAACTGTTTACTTTCCAGAGGTTACGAACTGAAAACAGACTCCTAAAACAGCGCATTGAAACACTAGAAAAAGTAAGTATGTTGGGGATTAGATTTAATCTCTGCTAATTTAGACTTTGTTGATGGCAATTTCATTATATGAAATGGGAATCTCAGAATTATAGTTTACTGTTTTCCTGATAATCTCTGGTGTTTGCTAGCAGTGCTTAGCCAAATAACATGGCTATCACTAAGCAATTAAGGTCAATGCTTTAAATATGTAAGGTTATGTCTACTTCTTAGTGATTATAAAATCACACATTTTGACATACTCAGCTTGTGTTGTATTGTTTTCTTTCTGAATTAGAAGCATATGCAGAAGACTCCATGAAATAGTGGACTGGTTGTTTGGAAAAAAGGTCATTGTGAGAGAATCCTCAGTTTTCAAAATCTGAAGTTCCTTCATGTTTTTATGTAGGAGCAAAATGAGAGACCTGCTAATGACCAGAGCGCGATGTTGCAGCATTCATATTGAGAACAGGAGCACTGCCATTCATTCATTCTCTGTGGTTTTGAGGTTTTGTGGCAATTCTGGGTACCTGGTGGGGAGGATATCCAAAGACTTATTTCTCTTATGTTTAATCTGGAGTAGAGTTTCGTTAGGTTTTTTTGTAACTGGCTAAAACCTCAAAAGTATGCATGAGGACTGCTGTGGAGATGTTGCCAACTGTTCTCCAGTGGCCTCTGCTGTATCCTGGTATCACACTTCCTGTGGCTGATTGCATGTGAGCTGCTATGCTCAGGAATGAGAGCATTCCTGCCCATTTTAAGCACCAAGAGGGACCATCTTTCAACAAATGGAATTGAATGCTCTTGTGAGTTGCAAAGAGTTGTTCACGTTCCACAGGGAAGAAAATGGTAATGTTTCAATTAAAAGTGACATAATTGAAAGACATCACATTTAAGATGTTAAACCCAAATGCAATTTCTTGAAAAGTAGTGGGTCTATGTCAAATTCTAATTAACTGGTTTCAGAATTTAATTTGGAAAAGTTGCATAATAAGTGTACATTGTGAAAGTTGTGACCAACAATACAATTTGTTGTATTGTTTCTAGTATTGGAGATAAAATGAATGGAAAAGAATAGGCTCTCTTTAAGAAGCTTGAAGCTGTAGTGAATCATTTCAATGACCTTGGTAAATATGTAATAGTTACTATCCTTGTTTTATACTTAACTTGTAGAGGTTTGAAATATTTTCTTTTTTTAATTCTAAAGTCCAGGATGAACTGCTACATGCTAGTGCTTTTGCAAGTTCTGTGCTTGGAATTTCAGAATTCACCTGATTCCAATCTGATTGGAATTAAAACAATTCAAAATCGGAAAATATTATTATATTAATAAGAATTCCTGAAGGTTGTTATCATCTCAGCATTTGAAAAACATCATAAAGTGTGAAAAATACTTTAAGTTCTTCTGTTGGAAACTAACTTTTGAAATATTTTTCCTTTATTCAAATACATCTGATTTAGTTGTGATTTCCTTAGTGTACCTTAACTTCTAAGAAATAGCTCTTATCTACCAGTTTGAACTTCAATTTTAATAAAAGCTTCAAGGACAAAGAAGGTCTGTGAATAGATGTATTTCTGTGTTGTAGAATGTTCAAAAAAATTGAGTGGTTTCAGGGGTGATAAAGTAGAAATTAAATGCAATGGTAGGGCTTGTCAGTGTGCAAAAATGAAGGGTTTTTTTTGCAAAAGTTTGGCAAGAAAAGAGAATCTATGAACTGCTGAATGAGTTACTGCAAGGGTTCAGTAAAACAGAACCTTAGCTGTCATAGTTGACATTTCCTACTTGTCTGTCAGTTTGCACCATTTAACTGCCCTGCTGCATCTTAGTGGAAGCTGTAGTTGTGCATGAGTTCCTCAGTGCCTAGTGGAGTTCCCTCTGTGCTCAAATTATGCCTTTGTTTCATGTTGTGGGGGGACTGTAGATCGTGTCTTGCATCTATCTATTCGATCCTATCAGATAATGCTTCAGTAACTTTCGTTAATTAGGGAGCAAGCCATTCAAATAAAAACACCCAATCCTCCTGTAGGTGAATTTACAATGTTACAGAAATCTGGCTTTGAAACCTTTTTGTATCACAGATGGACTCTGTTAAATCTGTTGGAGAAGAGGCTGCTTCCTGGGACCTTTGGACTGAGTTGCCTTCATTTATATGAAGAGTTGTTAATTTTGCAAAAAGAGTTTGCACAAAAAATGGGTAGAATTTGGGCATTTTCTTTCTATCAGCTCTTGGTCTTTTTTGTCACTATTATCAGCCCCTTGTATTTTGGTTTCCCTTTTCCTCATTCCTATCTGAATTTTTCCTTTGTAGGAAAGTGCTTCCTTGGCAGATAGATTGATCCAGGTATAGTCTTTTAGTCTTTTACTGTATGACTCTCTTCCTACTCATAAAAAACCCCAACTGCTTAATGCATGCATATTTGCATGCTGTATTCTATCCCTGCTTTGCTGATTTGGAATAAATACAGAGCTAATACATCTTGCTAGAAACTTGTTTAATTTTATTTACTAAAAATATATAAACCCAATACCTGCACGTTATAGTAATTGTCCTAACCTATTGTAATTTTTTGTACAAATTCCTGTGGCAAATGGATTCTATGACACTGTATTAACAATGAAATTGAATACTGTGAACCTCAATCTGTGCATGTACAACTGAGTAATAATGCATGAAAGGAATTTTATTGAATGCAAGTACAGAACGGTGCTTGCTAAATGGATGCTGAACTTTGTAATAAAGTACTAAGGCAGCTGTTTAGTACTACTTGGTCCTAAAATTTCTACCAATTGTACTGTGTGCTGTTTGCAAAACCAATCTGATGAAATAAGCAGCTAAGCATCACAAAGGCAGTTTTCCTTGGATTTGTCATCAAGTGCTTAAAAAAATAAATTATGTCCTAAGGGACAAGTGACAAGGGCCCAGGAGGCTGAGGAAAACTACCTCATAAAACGGGAGCTGGCCACCATCAAACAGCAGAGTGATGAGGCCAATACTAAACTGGAGCAAGCTGAGAATACCATCAGGGAGCTCCAGCAACAGCAGCAATGGGTAAGGAGCCTGGCAGCACACATCATTTCATTTTTCTTCCCTCACATGTGTTTATTTTTCCTCATCATTATATGACATGGTCTCTGTGCTGTCTTTGTAAACCCCTGTTCATTGTGATTTGCATTCTTAAAATTACACAAATTGGATTAAATGAAATTTTGCTCTGTTCTACTGATAGATGAGATTCATAACCCTGGATAGGTGTAAGTTATGACTTAATTAAAAAAACTAAACAACATACCCACAATGAAACACACCAAGCAAAAAACCCTACAAACCAAGCCAAAACCCTTCCATCACAAAAGAAGTACTAACAAAAAACCACACATATAACCTCTGACAGCTCTTAATGCTAAGAATCTAGCCATTGCAAGTTGTGTCATTCTGAATACTCAAATTTGAGAATTGATTCACAGTGCCCTTACCTAGTGTATAATTCAAGTCATGTTAATGTTAATGTTTCTTCTGTGTACATGTATTTGTTTTTTTCCAAGTATGCTAAAATTTACTGCTTGCTGAAGTAGAGGAGTATCATCCCTGATTTTGCAATTACAAAACTTGACTAAAAAGTGTGGATTTATGGGCATATGGACCAGGAAAATAAATTTTAGTAGCCTTTTATAGTGCTGTATTTGGGTGCACTCTGTGTTTTAGGTAGTAAAGTGTTCAAGACTTCTGACTGTTGCTGTAACACTGAAGTTACTTTCCCTAAGGCACTTGAAGTGCTCAGTATCTTCTCTTTGGGGAGACAGGGGGAAGCATTTTAGCATCTTCACTTGCTGAATAAACTGTGCACTAGTGTTGATGTGAATGTCTTCATATTGTTTTAAGTAAGTGGTATCCGAGTACTTGTCTGGAGTCTTGGGAATTTCAGGTGCATTAAATACGACTTAATTAAACTAAGTATGTGGCAGCTCCTTAGCAGGTTCCTTAATGTCAGTATGGCAGTTTGTTTTACCTGCCTTCCACCAAAGCTCTAGAAATACCTGTGTCTCATATTGGAAGGTAAAGATGAAATTTGTTGCTAGACTGAAAAGAAATCACAACTTAAATGCAACATTCTAGAACTAGTTTATTATGTATGTTTAATGCATTTCGGTGTAAAAAGATACGTATTTTAGGATAGTTGTACGAAGTGATGAACGAGCTGTTACTCTCTCATGTGAAATGCTGCTTTTTATTGAACTTGAACAGTTTCTTTAGGGGGAAAAATATGAAGAAATTATGATTAGGAATATGGGGATGGTCTAGTAATACTTTTCAACATTTTTAGATATATTGTAATCTTTCAAGTGAAATACAATGAGAAGTGTTTATGGACTTTTGGATATCCAACCGTTATATCCAGCTGTATTGTCTGATTACAATAGTACACACACCTTTGGAATGTATTTTTTGAGGCATCCATGTTAATGACCTGTATGCAATTAAAAGTTACTAGAAGAAGACTAAGACACTATATTTATTTATTTGTTAATTGGTGGGACTATGACTTTTAAAGCTAATGCCTTTATGCTGGGGACCTTACAGAGTACCAGTGATGGGGAGGCCTGACAGATTGCCTAGGTATGGGAACTGATCCTGAGCAAAACCTTCCATAACTGTGGGTTGCAGATTTGGCTGGGTTGGAGCTGTGAGTGCAGGCAACTGGATGAGTACTGTAGGGGTGGAGAGTAGGTTAAATTATGAGCCCACTTCCTTCTTTCCATGCTTGCAGCATTGTTTTCCTCCACTTAAACGTGAACATGGATATAGGAAGCTGTCTGACTGTGTGTGTGGAGCTGAGACTGTAAATCCATATGGTTATAGACAGATTTGTGCCTAATAATAATATTTGTGCTGGCTTATTCTGAAGTGCAAGGAATAGCACTGTGGTTTTGAGACCCACCAGAGTTAGAAAACGTGGTGAAAGAGTTGAAGTGGTTTAAGTGAGGAACGTTTGCTAGATCCTGCTGCATGAGTAAGGTGTGTAATTGAACAGGCTTTAACTCCAAGCATGGGAGTGAGAGCGACGAATGTAAGCAGCTGCGTGCGTTTAGGGCGCCACCTGGTGAGAATGCATGGATTTATCTGGAATTTTGGCATTTACTGTGCACTGGTTAAATTTTTGCCACTTTCTCGTGCCAGTAGCTTTGTTCTTGGCAATACTCATTTCCAGTATTGTCTTCTGACTATCTGCTTTAATGTTTTCTTCTCTAAATATTTCAGCTATATTTTTTGTTAGCAAAAATGATTGCACTGTAAACTTGTAAATCACTGTATAGTTTCTGTGCTTATTTAAAGATACAGCATCTATTGTATATATTTTACCATCTACATCTTTTTCAGTCTTGAATTGTCTGTTTCAGCATGATAAAAAGCTAATGTTTGTATATGAATCTCTGAATAGAAATGTATGGAAAGAACTGCCTAAGGGTACTTGCAGCAGCCTCATCTGAACAATGCTGTGCGATTTAAAAAACCCACTGGCTTATTGGTAGCAAAAAATTGTCAAAACAATAGCATTTGGTAGCAAAAAATTATCAAAACAATAGTATTTCTGAGAAGGTTAACATAGCCTTTGTAAAAAGGTTATGCATTTGTATTTTTGTATTACCAAGGGTTTATGCTCTCTGTTCTATGAGATTGGATAGCATAGGTTGGATGGCTTAAGGGTAAGTATTGAAAGTACTTACTGGATTTGTGTCTGAAGAAATTCTCCCCTGCAGCACTTCTGAATACAGAGATGGGTAGAGGAGTATTCTTTTGATCAAAGCCCAGCACCAGAAGCCCAAATTACATATAAGTTTATTTTTTCCTGTGCTAAACTATTTATAGGGAGTTTTTAGTTGAACCAGAAAGACTTCATAATGAAGTGTGGAGTCTACTTAAAACAGTAATCATTTTACTAACGAATGATACTAATCTCTCTTTGGCTTGTCTGGTCTTTAGATATGGAAGCTTGCCAAAGGCAAGTCACTGTGTTTACCAAGTGATTAACAGGGAGGTGGCTTCTTCCTCATACTGCTAGTAAATTGAGAACTGCATAGAGGAAGTTTTGCCTGACTTGAACTAAATACAGTTTTCTTTTGAGGCATGCTAAGAGCAATGGTATTTGAGGAGTTAGGGGAAAGGGTAATCAGCCTGTTGTAACTTACTCCAGATAATTATGTGCTGAAGGTTTTTTTCTCTGTTCCTTTCTTCCTTGTGTTTCTAAATGAAAGGGGTAGCTTCTTGCTGGATGTAAACACCTCCAGAATGCAAATCTTGTCTTTCCCTGTGACACTGTAATTGTCAATGCTTACCCAGTTCATCAGTCTGAATGCTTTAAAATTGAATCTGATAAATTGGAGGCTAATCAAGCTAAAATTAGTTCACATCTTATTTTTAAATAGGCTCTTCAGCTATATTATGTGAAGATAGAATTTTAATTGAATAAGCATTCAGATGGAAGCATATGCATTTTGAAAGGTAATTTATAGTGATGTATTTGGTTATTGTTACAGCAACTTCACAATGCATAGTTTCTTTTCAGGAACTCATGCTAAAATGACTGATAATAATTAAGAACATAGTAATTGATATTAGGAATATATGCTTGTAAATAAGTGTTGCAACTTTATGAAAGGCTTCACTTTATTTTACAGTATACTTTCCTAATACTGTGTTCTGATTTGCAACAAAAAAAGCAGAAAATAAGAGTACTGTATTTAGGGAAGCACTACCGATGGTGCTCAAATGTATAAACAAAGTTAGCTGGGAGCTGCTGTATCATCTGTTAATTGCTCTTATAGTATACTGGAGAAACATTGTGTAATTATATCTGTCATCAGCCAAAATAATATTTGGTATAGTTATGTTTAAGAAAAGTTGGGTGGAAATAAAACCACTTGTATGAAGCCCAGCAAGGACTTGTTTCTTTCAGAATTAAATGGCTGTAGAGCTGCAGTTTTATGTTTATAAAACTTACATTATTTATGTCTCTTGAACATAGGCAAGAAAGTGTTACTGTGGTTAAAATGTTTGATGTCTGAAAATCTGTATATGCATAGTGGCTTTTGTCAGAAATTCTAGGGCTTAAGGCAAATATATAAAAGCAGATTTTTTTTTTCCTGCAGTCAGTTTAAAAGTAGCTTTCCAATGCTGTTTTAACTATAAACTTGTGTTACTTTTATATACTAAATTATTGAAATTGTACTTTGTTTTACTAGGTAGCAAAATGCACAACTTCTAATTTGTGAATCTTTATTTCTTCAGTCTGTTTTGGTCTTTGCTGGGGTCTTTTTGTATATCAAGGCTTGATTTAGAGTTTGTTGTGGCTAAGTAAATAAGTATTCTTAACATATTCCTTAGGCAGGCAAAATCTGAAGACATATTTAAAGAAGGCATGGCTCATGCTTGAAACTGGATTAATAACTTTTCTTACATTCTCCATTACTAATTGTTTGATAAACATCAATTAGATTTTTATAGAATACACTTGCCTTATTGCAAAATCAGTGTGTATTCAATTCTTCAAGTCTGCTGTTTTCTCTCGATGTCCTGGAGAACACTGCATTTGCTCTCATTCCGTATGTATCACAGACAGGAATCTGGAACATGAAATGTAGAGTCCATTTAAGTTACTGTGTGTATTGTGGGATGAACCTCTATAAACAGCCAGCAAATAAAAGAGAGTGGTTGCTTCTTCTCTGCCTCTGCATGGTATTACATATGTTACATATGCTACTTGTGTTGCTACATGATGTGAAGCAACTGTAGAAATGAATCAGCATTGTCCACCATCCTCTTCCTTACACTCAGATCAGGTCTGCCTCCACTGCTTGCTGAGGCAGGAATACTGTGTGGGTTGAAAATAATAGGAATTCAATTAGTATTGTATAAGGGAAAGATTAGTATTAATGTACAAGGATCATAGTGTATCTGTGTTCCATGTGTGTTCACGTGCTTAAGTGGACAGTGTCAATGACACTAAAAACAGTCATTGCAGCTTCTGTAGGCACATATATACAAGAAATATGGCAACACTAAGAGTAGAGTGTAATTCTGTAGAGTAAATTTTGAATTCGGATTGAACTGTAAGTCTTGACAAAAGGTTTAATTGGCATGCAGAAGTATAAAAACAAATGAAAAAAATTCCTTGACCGCATAGTTACATTTAAGTCTTTGTTTTGTCCTGTTTGCCTTTTATTTATACATAAAAAGTCAGGAAGTGTCACACCGTAACAGAAGCATGTGGAACTGAAGACTTCTGTTCATTTTTTTACTGTTTTTTAGATGCAGAAAACTAAATTGCTTGGTGCAAACATAAGACACAGCTGTATCTTTAATATAATGAATATTCTTAAAAAAGTTGAATTGTTAATTAAAACTGAATCTATGAATCCAAGCATAGTACTTATATTTCACAATGTAGTTAATGACACCAAAAATATATTATTTTCCTCTAAACATAATTTTCAGGGTAGCTATGTAAACATATTAACTAAACAACTACACTTTGAGGACTTCAATGCCCACTTTTTTCTTCAATCAGAAATTTAAAGGCTGATTTAGGTTGGTGTTGCCTATCAAGCAAGTTTGACAATCTGTCAAACTGACAGGTCATTTTAAAGTGACCCAGGAAAGAAATAAAATGTATTTTTTAACTGTTGATTGGGGAGAAAAGTTAAGAGAGTCTTTTAAATATAAGTGCTTCAGTTGGATGTATCTGAATCTCAGAAGGAATATATAGAGTGTGAGCAAATGAGACCCAAGAGCTGGAGTGAAGAAAAGGGCAAACCAAAGTCATTGTTCATTGAAGCTATGTAGTTTTATTTCAAAGCCAGGATATGGAAGGATTCTGTTGATTTGGAGTTCAAGTGAACAAGGATTGAGTGATACTTGTACTAACCTTAGAATTAGTTAGTCTTTCCCCACCATCTTTTTCTGCAGATCACAAAATAATCACATATTGTTTGAGAATCTTTCAGTTTGCTTGACAGTGAGAGAAAAGTGTGAGTTGCTGCTTGTCAGTACTAGTAGGGGCCTCAGTTTTGTCAGGCACATTGGGCTGTGTGGAGGTGCAGTTGTTTGAGACACAGAGCAGTAGGGATACGTTTGTTAGTAGACTGGATTGGCATTAATAGACATATATGGTAAGCACTTATGCTGGTACTCCTGATATTAAACATGCGAATGTACTTGTCCCACCCAATCTGGTGTATAAAACCCCTTTCAAACAATCTGTACTTCATACTAAACATGTTTCTGCAAACTTTGTAGCATAAATGCAGTTCACGATACAGTGAAGACTTTGTGCTACAGCTGGAAAAAGAGCTGGTCCAAGCCAGGCTGAGTGAAGCAGAATCCCATTGTGCCCTGAAGGAGATGCAAGATAAAGTTCTAGAGATGGAAAAGGTAAATCATACCAGGACCCTCTGTACAGAACAGCACTAGAAACAAACTACAGGTCCCTGTCTTTCCTAGCAAGCAGAACTGTGCTCTAGAACCTTCTCTTCTATGCTTCTGTGATTGCAAGATGCTTTTCAAACCTGAAAGCACAACAATAAAACTAAGGTCTGTTTGCGCTGGGAAAGGTTTGTGAATAACTGATCACTTTCCTTCTATTCCTGAAGCCTGCTGTAGTGGAAAACTTAGATTCTGGTGAAGTCCTGACGGGAAACATCAATTATTTCAGAATGATATCCTGTAACAAGAGCAGTGGGCTTAGAGTGAGCATTGAGATGATGTGAAACAAAATAGTTTGGAAGGGGAACAAGAATGGGTTCAATATTGCCATTCCCATTATGGGCAGGGAAAGAATCCCTTATCCCTTCACTGCTCAGTATCAGAATTTCTACTGCTTTTTGGGTGCCATGCTAGCTTGTAACTTACTGATGCCAGAGTTCAAGCTGTACTCAAACCTACTGTCAAACATTTACCTTTCTTTGAAGCAAAGTTTAACTGCAAGATAAAATAGCAAACAATCCTCTCCCCCACCCCCCCAAAAAAAAACCCAAAAAAACCCAACAACAACAACAAAAAAACAGACAAAAAAACAAAAACACCAATAACTGACCTGATATAAAGCATGCTTTTCAGATTCTATTGTACTGACTTTGGAATTAGTTTCCTTAGGAAATTTTAATGAGCTATATACTTAGGCTTTGGCTAGAACTTACTAGCTAATTAGTTGAACCCACTGAAGTCAAGATTTATTTTTCAGTTATCTGATGAGCTTACTATTGGTAGTTTTTACTGTATTGACCATTGGTAAGAATTCAGGATATAAATATTTTTCAAAATTCAGGAGACTACTTAAATGTTATCATCATGGAGACAGCATGCAATGAAAACTTTATCTGCGAAGAAAAACTGGAATAGCGGGATTAGTTCCAGTGCACCAGACAAACTCAGACATACAGTAATATTTCAGTCTGTCATAGTTAACTTTTGCACATGAGAAAGTGCTGAAGTCCCTCACATTCCTCCAGTACAGCTCTTTACTGCTGTTAGTGCTGAGTCGTGTAATCTGGGGAGCTTCTGCTGAATAACCCAAGACTTGCATGGCCACAGTGACAGTGCCATAAACATTCAGAAACACACCCTCTCATTTCCTGTATTTGCCAATACACAGATCCCAGAATTCCCATGGAATGCTATTCAATAGCTGTGGTGCTGTGTTCTGTTAATGTTAATCAGGTGCTTTAATCAACTCTCAAGAAAACCTGACAACTGTCACAGTATTATACATCTGCAAAAACACTTGATTTTGCTGAAAACAACTACAGGGAAATAAAGTGAAGAACAGTTCAGCTTTGAATATTTGGTGACCAATAATTTGTTGTAGGGATATTGTAGACAGCGTGTTCATTTTCTTCCCCTCTTGTTTTTCTCCCACATTTCCATCATTAGGATTTCATCTCTGTTTTGCTTTTCCTGGTGTTTTCATGTTTTCTGTTTAGCCTTCTCTCACCTTTCTGCTTTTTCCTCATGTGTCTTGCACTTTCCATCTCTAAGACCTCTTGACTGGTTGTTGTTTATAAAAATTAACGGATGGTTCCTTTGCCAGCGTATCTGTTCTCCTTTTCAAAGGCTGATGACCTACTTCCTAAAAAATGAATTTCCATATATTATTTTTTCTGTAAACCTAAATAAATGTTATAGCTTTAAGGTGTAATTTCAGTTCATTGTCGCTTTACTTTTTATCAACTAGATCAAAACCTTCCAGATTACTCTCCATATTTTGATGGTGTATTCAAATATTTTAAATGTAACGTTTTGTTAGGGATACCATTCAGGGAAATCTTGAAGTCAGAATATCTAGAACTGCTACCTTACACATTTTTTTTGTAGTTGGCAGTTTACACACACGATATCCAGCAGCTTAGATTTTTTGATGATTTTTATTTTGCAGAAGATGTGCACTTAAAGTTTCCATAGTAATTGTTACCTGTCTATGTTCTTGGACTGGGTTTCACTAAGCACAATTTTATTCAAATACATATTTAAGAGGATGGTCCTTGTTGCAGAGGAACAGCTCTCTCCCTGATGAGGAAAATGTTGCCAGACTACAAGAAGAACTGATTGCAGTAAAATTAAGAGAAGCAGAATCTTTGATGGGTCTCAAAGAACTGAGGCAGCAAGTCAAAGATTTGGAAGAACACTGGCAGGTATGGGTTGTAATACAATTTTATTAATTTTTGTTTCCAATGATAAAGCATAAGACTATAAAATTTTGAGATACTGAGGTCAAGTAGAAACTAATTATTATGGATCAAACTGCTGAGGTGAAAAAATCCTTAAATTCACCTGTCACAAGAAACTTAACTTCAAAAGTATGTTAGAAATTGGTGCCTAGTTGTTATAGATGGCAGAGGGCCTGTGCTGCCAGCTAACTGTAACGGTAGGAGGAAAATACCTGATCAGTACTCCTACTTTGCTGCATGTTAAAAAGGGCTAGAAATAGACAAAAGTCTCAGGATATATTTGCAATTCACTGACTTAATGTAGTTGGGAATGAATGTGTTCAGTTTTTAATTGTCTGTTCTTAAAACCAGTAAGTTTCCATGGGTTTCTAGCTTTCAGGATCAACAGGGGAACTCTAGCTATTTGTCCTCATATAACTGAGACCTTAGATGAAGTAAGGAAACACCAGGAGTGATCAGGCATTACCAGCAAAACCATGCTGTTTTTCTAGCGTCACCTAGCTCGTACCACTGGAAGATGGAAAGATCCTCCCAAAAAAAATGCACTGAATGAGCTACAGGATGAGCTGATGACAGTGCGGTTGAGAGAAGCAGAAACTCAGGCTGAGCTGAAAGAGACCAAACAAAGAATGATGGAGGTGGAGACACAGGTATGTCATTGAACACTAGGAGGTGTGAACTGAGCTGGATGCTGGCAGTTTGGTGTTACATGGTAGATGATCTTCACTATCTACAGTAGGACTTCAGTTCCAAAATGTGTGATGTTTTTGCTTCTGTTAGATGGGGATGGGAGACTCTGTGCATGCAGTCCAACTTTCATGTCTCTTCTTTAATCTTTTCCAGGACTATGCTGCTTGAATTTGTAATTTGGGTTCGTTGTAGACACTGAATGTGTCTTAAGTCATTAAATCTTAACAGGTGTAACAACAACAAAAGTATGTTTAAGGTGTTTTAAGTCTCACAAGTCTGATTGGCAATTCTGATAATAGTAATGTTTAGGTGGCAGTGTGTGCTTTCTTTTGATGACATTGGTGATTGATTTTCTGTGGATGTCATGAATCTGGTTACTACGCTGTGGACTCAGCAAAGCAGCTGTGTTTGGTCAGTGTTTTAGCAGAAGGTTTGCCTTTAATGCGACAGAATAGAAAAGCGTGGGTTATGCCTGCTGAGGGTTGTGCAGAAAAGACAATCATACTTTGACTGCCAAGATTCTTTTTGTATAACTAGGGAATAAGTTGCTAAGCACCTGAAATGAAAATGCACTAAAGTGGTGAGTGCATATTCTATTAGTAAGCTTTCACTCAAGTTAGTAAGCAGAAAGTGCTGATGATTGAGAAGGATTTGTATGAGGCTTCTAAGAAATCTTCCCCTGAAATACCTGCTAAATGTTGCTTTTTGAAAGAGATCTATGCATCCACAAAATTAAACAAACAAGAGCTTTACTTGAAAAGGTTCAGCAATTCCAGAAACCAGGAGAGTACATAAGGATGTGATATTCAAGACAGATGAACCAACTGCAAGGCATATGAAGGCTTCTTTCTGACAGAGACACCACTTTGTCTATACCAACTGAACAAGTTTCCTCTTGCCTTACCTTTTGAAATATTCACTGACGTGTCAATATTGCTTTGGTCAGTAGGGGGCGGAGAGATCCTGCTGTTTGGCTCGCATTTAGGTACTTGTCACTCCAGTGTCACACACTGTCTTTGTGCTTATGCTGTTCAGCTGTCATCTGAGAAAAATGCCATTCTCGTGGTGTGGTGTGCACAGCTTCAGGTACAAATGCTGTGACTTGTACTTGTGCACTGATCTCAACTAAGGTGCCAGGTTGCTTTCAGGAATTCACTGGACAGGGAAATGTGCAATGTCAGTATTTCTGACATACTTGGTCTTTCCTGGATGCATAGTGTAGTTCACAAGTTCACAAAATCTGCCCTACCTAGTCAACAAATTGGGAAAAAGAGATCTACTGGAGTGTGGTGGAGCTTTGCAATAATGTTCTTACAATGAGTCATCTGCTTAAGAACAATTTGAATATCCTGATGATAAACAAAATATTATGCAGTCTCTTCTGATTACACTTGGAAAACTCTGAACACTTTTTCATCAAAAGTTTTTTATGTTAAATCATCTCTAAGTCTGTTTTGTCAGACTTCAGGGAGTTAGATTAATATCCTTTCCTTAACATGTATTTTGTTTCCTTTTTCTGGCCATAAATTTCAGAATCAGATCAATAGTAATCACTTACGAAGGGCAGAGCAAGAGGTTACCAACCTACAGGAGAAGGTGCAGTATCTTTCTGCACAGAACAAAGGACTCCTGGCCCAGCTGAATGAAGCAAAACGTAGACAAGCAGAGATTGAATGCAAGGTAAACAGCATCCTGAAAATAATATTTGTGTGCTAATATATCTACATTTTAGTCTTGTCTGCCGTTATTGGATAAACTCTTGTCTTAACTGAGAAGCATAAATCATAAAACCTAAATTATTTTTACTGATTTTGACAATATCATTTTGAATTTACTATCTCACAAAAACCACTTGAGGTTTTGACAGAGCTGCTTCTTTGTGGTTCCACGAAGATAAACATTTACTTTAGAGCATGGTTCTACTCAGAAAAGTGTCTGTGTGTAATATAAAAAGACACTCCTCAGCAACAGACTCTTTCAGGTTTTCATTTTTCTTACTGTCTTGCTGGTTCCATTTGTTTCTGGTGGGACTTGAATGTACAGTGCAGCAAAGAAGTAACTTCTGCTGACTCCTCAAACTCCATCACAAGCTTTTAGGAAAAAAGACATAGAATCTTAACTAGAAGAAATTTCTTCTACTACTTTTCTTGTTTGCCATAACCTCTGGTTTCCTAAATACCATTTTTTTAATGCTGAGATTAATTTTATTGATTTTTTAAAAATAATCATAATCTTAGTGATGCCTTTTTCATATAACCCATAACTTGGTTTGATTAGTTTTTGATGCTGAAGGTGCTCATTAATCCTTAAGAGATCGAGGATAGAAACTGTGTAGTCAATATTCTGGTTTTATGTTGACTATGTAAAAAACAATGTCTTTAACCTGATTAATGAGTTAGCACACATAAGTATTCTCAATGGGATAATACATTTATAGAACAATGCTCTAGCATGGGCTAGAGAAAAGTGTGACAGTAATAGACAGAGCACCAGTCATACTCTTTAGAGATTCTGTGAAATTCTGAAAGTAGCTATGGGGAATAGCCAATGAAGTATCTTCACTGACATACACTAACATTAGATCCTGAAACTTGTTTTGTAGCTAATAGAAAAAAAGGTTAAAATTTACACTGTAAGATGTTTGGCAAGTAGTATTTGATTATATATAAAAAACAACAACAGTTGTTCCTGATTTCTATTAACTGATGTTGGATTTTTTTTTTTGCTGTTTTTTCAATAAGTTGTTTGAATTCATGCTCTAGTTTTATTTTTGTCTTGGCTAGGTAGCAATATTTCTACTGTCTCAAAAAGTATATATTTGGATTTTCAACTCCAAATAAACTGGTATGTTATTTCAGGAGTTGGTATTTTTCTTTTAAAAGCTATCTTGAAATGCTTAAGCAGAAATTAAATTTTTTGTAGCCAGTTGCATCTCATACCAGCTGCATGGCAACTGGTTTTGCCGCAGGTGTGTATTGTTATGTTTTTCCCTTTTTATCTGACTACTGCTTCTACAGCAAGGACTCAATTTCAAATTTTTTCTTGAAACTCACCACTGATCTTTCTAATCAGTTGTGCTAAAGAATTTACAATTTAAGATTTGTGCCCTCACCCAATCTTGTCTTTCCTACCATATCTGTGGTAATTATTGAGAACACACTCTGTTTCAGAGATAAAGCATCAGTGCCATCTAGAGCAGCACTATTGACTCATCTCTGATACCAAAGTCAAACCAAGCCAGTCTTTCCTTCAGCTTTCAGTTAAATACTTGCAATCCTGTGGACTTGTCGGTTTGGCTTCATTTGAGCAATCATGTAACAGAATTTAGCAAGAATGGCTAAACTTTGTCTAGCATATGATAGATTTCTCTAAAATAGGCTCCACTGATTACAAATGCAGTTAATTGGGTCCTGTAGATTATATACCTCATTACAGGAATATTTTAAAAAGGAACCAAAACCAAACAAATAGCATGTTTAGAAGTAGCTACTATGGATAAGCTTTGATTTGTTTGATTTTATTTCAGCTGTACTGTTTGTTTGAAGCACATTAAAATAACCAAAGTACTGGAACTGATTTGCCGTTGATACAGTTTAGTTACACCAGTCTGCTATGAAAGTAGGTGTACCTGAGCCTAATCTGTCTCTTCCCAGAGCTGTTTGCTCTTCAGCTGATAGTACTGCTCACTAATTATTTAACACTTCTTTCTCTCCATGGTTGTACCATTATATTATCAGGCTGCTGATAATATAATGTTGTTTTATGCTCTGAAGTCTTGAGGACTTGCCTCATGAAACTGGACATTTTTTTCTCTCTTTTTCAAACTCAAATTACCTATCATTTATAGACAGACTAGTAGGTTAAACTTACTGTGGGAGGCCAATTGTAGGTTACGTGCATTAGTATTTTATTCTAAAATGTCTTTGTCGTATACTGTGACTAAGATAGCTGGACTAAATGAGGTTGAGAATACATTTGCTTTTGTATTTAATTTTTTTTATTTTTTAGGACAAAGGAAATTATAAAATAAGTAACTCTTGTGTAGCTTTGATGTTTCTCTATATATAATAAGTCCAAAATGAAAGCATGAGCTGGTTTCTTTTATAATGTTGATTCTTTTTCTTAATTTACAGTATAATATTTATGGAAAACAAGACGGTTGTTTTCTGGACCTTGAAACTGATAACAGCAAGTTTTCAAATCTGCAGAGTTTTTTTTTTTTTTTAGATTAATATACTTTAGAGTTTAGATTATTACATACTCCTCCTATGGGTTAAAATTAAATTTGATTTCTTTAGAATAGTGGTAGTTTGCAGAGCAGGATTTTGAGTAAAAGCAGTGCAGTGTTTAATCAGCTAAAGCTGGTACTAGTTAGCTGCCATTTCTGACTTCTTTCAGAGTAAAGAAGAAGTGATGGCAGTACGGCTCCGTGAGGCAGACCGCATTGCAGCTGTGGCAGAACTCCAGCAGCATATTGCTGAATTAGAAATCCAGGTAACAAGTGATGGCATTAAATGTGAAACTTGATACTGATTAGATTTTGTACTTTGTGAGTTTTTTTCTTCCCCTACTGTGTTTCTTCATTAGCCTACTGTGAATACAAGACACTGCTTTGCCAAGTGGGATAATGCTGTATTGCTGATTTCCTCTACAAGCCAAGCCTTAAATCTAACTTGGGCACTTACTTGTAAGCTTTTAATAATTCTTCTGTACATATACCATGTTAAAGGCAACACTCTTTAACTTCTGTTTTGGTTTTTTTCTCATAGTTGGTACTTCTTACCAATTAATAGATGAGCTTGAAAACATTCTCTGTCCAAAAAAAGATGCATACAATTTTGGTTCCAGCAACCATTTTTTTCTGTTTTTACTCTTCTGCTATGATCAGTATTGAAGGATTTATTGTAAAACTCTTACTCCCTTAATGTAATTCTTGAAACCAGAAATATTTACTGCTACCACGTCACTGTAGGATCTCAAGATGCATCCTCTGGCATCTGTGTTATTCCTTACACTTTCAGTTCCTTTTGGAGCTTTCACCATCCCATGAATATGCTGCTCCCTTAATGAGAAAACCAGTGATTGCTGTGCTGTATATTCTCTTGGCTTTGGGAAATCATGATGTCTTACTGTAGTCTGACCTCTCTATAATCATATACTGTTGTCCTGTCTGAATTCTGATGAAAAAGTTTTCTTAGTTATTTTTACTAAGTTACAGTCTAGTTACAATCTACAACCTGGTGTTACTATTGTGTTTCTTCCCTCTGAAATCTTTCCTTTGAAGTGATGATTTTATTATATTGTTTCAAAGCCACCTTTTCCCTATGATTTCTCAACTAGTTGTATCTTTTTCATCACTTCATATATGGAATGTACAAATAAATTTCATTGAGCTTTCATAAAGAATTTGTTATATTTTCTGTAGTGCAGCAGGCACTAAACTCATTGAAAGTTAAAGCAATCATTTCTTTAAATCATATAATGCTTAGATAATGCTGTGATCTGTACATTAGAAATACCTAGATAAGTATGGTAAGCATTGCATATGAATCATTTATCATCTAGTGAGATAACAAGAGAGTAGCTGAGTTAAAGTCAATCTTCTGCTCAAACTGACCTTTTAAAAAAAGAGAGGGGAAGTTTAAAGGTTACTTCAAACAATGTGATTTAGTAGGTGAGAAGTGAGTACTCATTTTACATTATTTTTACTTTAGCACAGACTTCAAATGCCATCCTGCTTCCATTATTTGATAAATTCACATCTCTCAAAATGTAGTCAGTATCTTATGAAATGGTGAATCCCCATGTGATCAGTTGGGAATTTTTTGATAGCAGTTATGCAATTCAAATTGTGTTCATTTTTTAGTGTAAATATATCTGACTTGGTTTTCTGTTGTTTAACTGATGAAACCATCCACGCTCCATCATTTGATTGCTCTCTCTTATTCCTTTTCCATATTTCTACTTAACTTAAGGATCCCAGAATTGCATGTGGATTTTTATAATACCTTGTTGTGAGACAGAAAGAACTGCAGGAATGTAATCTATTTTATAACTCCAGCTAATACATCCAAAGATCACACTGTTCCTGTTTTGTCATAATATTGCACTCTTTCAGGTTCAGTTGTTTATCCACATTATCTCTCATTCCTTTTCACAAGTACTGCTTTGCACAATGCACTTTTTAGTTATGTTTTTATTATTCTAGGTTTTTTGTTTCCTTCCAAAGTACATTTCAAGTCCCAGTCTTTATGGTATTCTCAGATTGCTAATGATTTCTTGAGTCTGATCTTAGTAAAATTCTTCATTTTCTTCACAAAAGTGAGAGTGGCTGTGCTTTCTTTGTATACAGTGTGGAGTATGAAGTAATTTTGTGGCTGAGGTTCCCGTTCATTTGATGAGTTTGCGCTGTTTAGGTTTTTGGTGAACATCTCAAACTTACTCTAGCAGGAAAGATAACTTTTTCAATTGTGAAATACAGATTTTAGGTGTGAACTTTAAAGTATTTAAAACAAACAATTTAGCAGAATTAAGTTCTGCTAATGTTAATTTTTTTATTTTTGACACTGTGGACATTACTTGAACTGCTTTTATTGAACTGTGATAGATGTCTGTGGTTCTTTTTAAATCTAAGGAGATATTTTTCTCCAGTGTGTTTTGCCAGCAAATACAAAACTTATGATCAAAGCTTCCTTTTTGGGTACTCATGCTCAAAAGCCTTTGAAACACCTGCACCAAAAGAAATGTAATAAAGGAGCTGGAAATCCTGAATTCCCAAAGCTTTTCAAGCATAAAACATGCAATTGATAATAGGGCTTAAACAAAAGCAAATTTTAAAGGAGGTTGAAAGTCTAGATAACTTCTTCTTCCCTGGAGAAAGAGCTGCCTCCCACTCTCTTCTGTTCAGCTTGTAATCAGGTGACAGCTGTAATTGCTGTCACCTGATGTGGGGAATAGAGGCCCATTTAATCAGAACTTGCCTTAATGACTTGAAATGCAGTATTTAATACTAGAAATGTATTTAGCCAGTCTTGGAGCATAGGCACCAGGGTTTAAGTACAGAGGCACAGTGCATCACAAATAAGTCTGCTTGTCATGCTGTTTCAAAGCTGATAAAAATGAAGGGAGGAAGTTAACGCTCTGGTATAGGTGTGCAGGGACATTTTTTAGACAAACACATCTCAGATCTGTGACAATAAGTTTTTGTTGTAGGGGAGAGTTAGCTTTTTTTTTTTTTTTTTTTTTTGAAGGGGGTGGTGCTTTTCTAAGAAGCTCAAGGGATTCATTGCCAGGTCCCCATGGGCGATAGCAACGATTAACCTAAATTGCAAGTTTTTCTTTTAAAAGTTTATGTAGGTGTAGGTGCAAGACAGTGATGTTAAATTTGTAATGCAGAGTATCACTACTCCCACATAAGAACTGATCTGACATCACACACACACACATGCTAGATTTAAATCACAGTTTCTGGGTCATTCTTAGTTTTGGTTAGTAATAATTACAGGGATGGAGAGTGAACTATCAATAATAGATGTAATTCTGCAAGAAGTTGTCAGCTTATTATGTTGTTAAGAAGTTATTTCTTAATATATTCTAAATGTCACCTTGTCTTGTTTGAGCATTCAGTTCATGATGCTGAGCTTTTAAACTTTTGTGTAAGTATATTGAAATGCAGTGAGTTGTCCAACACATGATGGATATTCTGTCTTTTTTTAGACTTTCCATGCAGAAATAGCATGGAATTGAACTGTAACTGAAGTTTAACTTATGTTGCACATACCTAAGCCCCAGAAGTGACAAAGAAAAACCCTGATGTTATAAGCCTGTTATGTGGAAACAAAGGTTTACTCTGTCAGCATTTGTTTACTCCTCTATCATGTCTTTATTTTTCTCTCACTTGCCAGTTGAGCTTATGTTTGGGAGGTAAATATAGAATCACAGAATGGCTTGGATTGCAAGGAACCTTGAAGATCTTTTTCCAATCTCTCTGCCATGGGCAGGACACTTTCCCTAAACTAGGTTGTTCACCATCTTCACAGTAAAGAACTTCTTCCTACTCTTCCACTCTCTCGTCCTTTCTTCCACTCTCAATCTACCCACTTTCAGTTTAAAGCCATTCCCTGTTGTCCTGTGACTACATGCCCTTGTCAAAACTCCCTCTCCAGCTCTCTGCTAGCTGCCTTAGGAAAGGGCTCTAAGGTCTCACTGGACCTTTCTCTTCTGTAGGCTGAGCAGCCCCACCTCTCAGCCTGTCTTCCTAGAAGTGCTCCAGCCCTCTGATCATCGTCATGGCCTCCTCTGGACTCATGATACTGAGTCTATGTTGTTCTGGTGCTGGGGACCCCACAGCCCCCGGGTGGGGGTCTCACAAGTGTGGAGCAGAGGGGCAGAATCCCCTCCCTTGAGCTGCTGGCCACACTGCTTTTGATGCAGCCCAGGACACATTTGGTATTCTGGGCTCCAAGTGCACATTACCAGTTCATGTCCAGTCTCTCTGCCACCAGCACCCTCAAGTCCTTCTCGGTGAGGCTGCTCTTGATTCGTTCATCTCCAGCCTCTATTGATACTGGCGTTTGCCATGACCCAGGTGTTGCACCTTCCACTGAGACACATTGAACCTCATGAGGTTCCCATGAGCCGACTCCTAAAGCTTGTTCAGGTGTCTCTGGATGGCATCCCTTCCCTAAAATGACTTGGACATATTTAGCAGGTTTCTGAGCTTTGAACAGGACATTTGAGCAATTTATTAACAGATGAAGGATTGGTTTTTGGATGATTGGGCTGCTATTTTTTGTATTTCCACACTGGGGAGAAGCTTACATAGAATCATACAATCATTTAGGTTGGAAAAGACCTTTAAGATCATGGAGTCCAACTATTAACCCAGCATTGTAAAGTCCACCACTAAACCATGATCCTAAGTGACACATCTACATGTCTTTTAATGCCTTCAGGGATGGTGACTCAACCACTTCTTTGGGCAGCCTGTTCCAATGTTTGACAGCCCTTTCCATAAAGAAATTTTTCCTGATATTCCATCTAAGTCTCACCTGAGGCCACTTGAGGCCACTTCCTTATGTCATTTCACTTGCTACCTGGGAGAAGAGACTGATCCATACCTTGCTATAACCCCCAGCTCCCTCAGCTGCTGCTCATAGGCCCTAGGCTCCAAACCAGCTCTCTCACCCTTCTATGGACATGCTCCAGCACCTCAGTGTCTATCTTGTGTGAGGGTCCCAAAACTGAACACAATATTCAAGGTGCAGCTTAGCTTGTCCTGGTCAGGTTGCATGCAGTGTGATCCTCTATGTTTCATCCTTTCGTAAAATTAAAAGAGCCAAAGCTTCAGGTTTGCTTCCTCAGGAAGATAGTGTTTCTTGTTTTCATTCAGCTGAACTGGGAGCTTCAAACTGCAGCAAGGAAATATTTCTGGCCTAATAATTAGCAAGTGTTCCTTCTGGTGGCATATGGGTGGTCCTGTTGGTCCATTGATG